CCGTACAACGTCGAGGGGGGGATGAGTTGTAGAGGTCCTGGTCCTGGCTCACATTCAACATCCTATGCTTCATCGCTCATACGCAGGTGGACCAATTTCAAGTTGTTGGGGTTACTCCAAAGAAAATTCTTGTAACTACTGTAAAAATAAATGTCTCAAAAGAGGGTATTCAATCAAATTGAAACAACCGTCGATTTCCTAATAATAACGCTGCTGGGGTATTATGCTAGTTCATCCCAAAACCCGGGGGGGAGATCAGTCCTCTCTCTCCCCCTCCCACCCCCCCTTTCCCCGCGAAACCATGATAAACTCCGACTTGAGAGAAAAGCCCCGCAGAGTCCGAAAATAGAGAAGGAAGTAATGGGAGTAAAGAAAAGGGTTCAAAGTAATAAAAAATAACCCAGATTTTTTGAGGTTCCGAACCATGGTAATACACATTAAGAGTGACAAAGGAGAGTGATGAAATAAAAAAGGTAACGAGTGTGGGGCTTTTGGCACATGTACAAATCGCTGGATCTGGGAGTCCGCGTGAGGGGGAATAGTGAAGAGAAATAAAAAAACAAAACAAAAAACAAAGTATAGAACAAGAAAAAAGAAGCAAAGATCAGATCAGAGAGTCGTACAATCGTAAGTAACAAAGGAATAGAGAGAGGATCTGCACTAGATGCCTCGAGTTTCAAGATAGTTTTCGCCAATGCAAGGAAGCCCTAGTTGAGGAGGTTGTTGACTCCCATCCGGGTATCACGGGCGGGCTCTGCCGGCTGATGCCATGAAGCCAGGGTAGGCTGGTGCTCCATCCAGCGGCGTTTTGAGGCTAGATCGGAGAGTGACTCGAGGGAGTGTGCGGGGTAGCTCTGCGGCGAGTCATCGACGACATGGACCGAAGCCACGCTAGGACGGCGAATGTCATACTGCGAACGCAGATCCACAGGCAAGGGGAGTAGTTGTGGGGAGGGAAGTGTGCGAGGTGACGAGGAGCAGACGGAGTTGTGATCGGAAACCATAGAAGGAGGCTCGCTTGAGGTAGCATTGGAGATGTCTGAGAAAGCAGGCGATGTCAAGGGAGTCTCGATCGGCCGGTTGATAGAGGGGAGTGTATAGATGGGGGAGAGGTGGCGGGTGGTGGCCAAGGACTCTCGGCGGGAGTGGGAGTATGCCTCCTCGCTGCCAGAGTCGGAGTCGGCCCAAGGGCGGGTGCTGAAGCGCGGGCGAGTTGGGCTGACCACGGAAGCACGAGCGTAAGGAGCCTCGATGCGGCCGGTAAAAGTGCGCGAGATAGTTGGCGAAGAGATACCGCGGCGCTTGCGGTTCATGCTGCCATTCCACCAATTCTTCACGGCGTTGTCACTGCGGTTACCGAGGCGGCGAGCGATCTCAGCCCAACGCTTGCCCATCTCATTGACCATACGTTCGATCATAAGGCCCTCGTCGGCCGAGATGGGTTCTCGGTTCAAGGAGGGCTTGAGGTTTTGATGGAAACGTTCCCGACATTGCTTGGGCGAGCGGTAGTGCATGTGTTGAGAGATGCGGACCCAGTTGTTAGGGCCTTGTTCACGAACAAGTTGCAAGAGCAACTGATCCTCTTCAGGGACCCAAGGTCCACGACGGTGAGCGGGAGCCATGGTTGGAGGGGGGATGTTGATGTGAGGGTGGAGGTGAGGTGAGGTGAGATTTGAGGTTGAGGTTGAGGAGAATTGTAGAGACACAAGCCACCAAGAGCAGGCCGGCGATAATTATATCTGCACCCAGGGGGACGGGTCCAAGAAAAATGACCAGCTCCACCCGCACACGCTATGGGAAGAAGATCACGATCCAAGATCTCGGAGCTGACAGTTCGGAACAATACTGCGGATACTGTGTATGGTATGGTATGGAGTATGGAGTATGGAGTTGGGTGGGTATTTTACTACGATAGCACAGGCACTGACTCCGGAGTATTGATATTAATATTAATTTGGAGAATTCATTTCCTACTTCCTTCTTTACTTCTACAGAAGATATCATGATCATGATATCCTAATATCCCTCTCTCTTCATCATAATCAAAGAAAGAGCAACACAATAGAATTAGAGTAGTAATTCAAAGAAACCAAAAATATGAAATTTAGTAAAATAGGATTAAAAAATAAAGAATAAATTATAATCAAATAAAAATAATAATAATAAAATAAAAATAAAAAATCACAGAATCAACCCAACCCGATCCGTTCGACCCGGGAATCCGGGCTGAGGAATACCGTAATGATCGGAGGGATCGACCCTGAGCCCCGTCGTTGGAATTCCAAATCATGGCCCGCGCTAAAGGGAAGCTATTTCTTTTTTTTCTTTTCTTCTATTTTTCTTAAAAAAAGTGTCCGAGCTCGGACAAAGGACTGTGCGGAATGGATTTTTGGTCGTGCAGAGTCCCAAAGCGCTGGTTCGCAAGCTGGGGTAGAGTGTGACAAGAATGCAGTCGAGTTGAAGATGATGATATGTGCCATGTCTATTGGCCCTATCTCTGGGAAACGCTCTTGCCCGTTACCATGGTACTTCAAATCTGATATTGTGATAGTCATTGTGGTTCGGTCGGGTAGTGTTAAGGGTACCATGGTCAAAAATAGGGAAAATAGATTGTCTACTCCATAGTTGCCTCCCTTCAACCCCCACGTAGAGTTCCCAAGGGCACTTGTTCCTCCACTTCACCCCCTGACAGACACACAGACAACGGTGCACAGGACGGAGTATGGGAATCTCCATCCCCTTCCGGGGCAGATCCTAGCCTCTGACAAGTGACAAGCGAGAGGCGCGGTTAGGGCCACGATTCTACCTCCTCTTGTCAGCCAGCCATGCACAACACCCCCTCGATCTTGTCCGATCCATGTGCGATCGGTCAACCAGCTTTTCTCATTGGTCTAATCGGCGGCTTCATCGAGCTCCTTTGGTCCACTTAGTGGGGCGCGAGAAGGTGGAGCTCGGATCGTGTGTTGACAAATTCTCTACAGCTATGACCTGAAGAAGGATCACTTCGAATAATACGGGGTGGTCTCCCCAAAAAAATTAATAAATCAAAAAGGGGTGATCTGATCAAGAATAGAGTCTGGAAGATCTAAAGCCATCAACGGTGACTCCGTATCCAGCTGTCTCTAGCTGAGCCTCGTCCACCCCGAGCAAATCCGAAGGCTAAATAGTACCTGGAATGTGGATCGAGCGTTGTACGTCTCCCAGACACTGGGCACCCCTTTTCCCGTGGTTCCTTCGTTTGTGTGCCTTGCAGCGATCGAACTGATCGAACTATGAACGATGTGACTACTGTCGGAGAGTACATTGTACATACAGTATTATGTCTACTCCGTACCTATTCGAATTACTCCATCGTTCACCAACGGACCTACTGCAACCCTTCACCTCGCTTATGCAAGTAAGTATGTACTAAAGTAGACTTGTAGTTAATCAATCTGTGTACTACTCGAATCCAAAGTTTGTATGTAGGTAGTATGTATGTACCTACATACAGGCACACTCGTCACCAAACCCAGAACCAGATAAAAACACCCAAAGCAGGGGCCACCTGCCACCTGTCACTGGCTTGAGGATGATCTTTGTCCGAGCCTGACATGATGGTGTCCCATTTCCTTGGTGCGCCCTCAAGGGAGAGGACCCATTTAGCGATGAGTAGATCGGAGGATCGTCCGCTCGCCTGCACGCTGCGTGCAATGAGCTGTCGAAACTGGCCCCTGGTAACCAATCTATTTCCCGTCCTTCTTCCCACTATTTCCACCCTAACGTTTGGGGGACCACCGGATTTTTGCGCTGACCCGATGCATTGAATCGATCGGGGCTAGAGGGATCGCCCTTGTCTGTGGGATACCCGGTTAGGTCTCCTGCAGCTGGGTCCCCCCCCACCTGGTGGAAACCGTTGAACAAAAATGCCGTCCCAAGCCACACCTTTTTTGCTTGTTTGTACCATACACCACTCCACTCTGGGCGCGTAACAATCGTAAATATCGTTAGTGGGATACCAGGTGGCGTATGGATGACCTTACGGTGGGGTCTAACGAACCCCTTTTGCTGCTGGTGATTGGTCCCCAGGTATTTGTCATTGTTGTCGTTTCGTTTGGGCAAGGATAGGCCTAGCGGATATCGACCGGCCCCAGGGCAATAATGTCGATAATACGGAGTACATTCGTACTTACTTAATCTATTCCAGACAGCCTGTCCCCAGAGCGGGTGACTAGATGCTAAGAATAAAAACGGGGAAGCCTTCGTTTGACGGCGAGAGCTGGTCAGTGGAGTCAGGTCAGCTTCTTGTTTCAACACTAAACAGAAATACACATAACCCCTTATTCGAAGGTGGCTTATGTTTCAATCTGATATGGGGGGTGGAAACGACTATTGTTTGATGTTCGAATGATTTGCGTCTTAGGTTCGACGACAGGTGGGAGACAATGCAAAACACACCACCGTCTGAGATCATGAAGTCATCTCTCATTCGGGAAGTGCAGGGGATTACTCCGTACTCTGTAGGTACAGACCATGCAAGATCCCTCAACCTCGTGTAGACTGATCGAACTCTCCCACACGTCCGGGTTTTTTTTTTTAAAAAAAAAAACAAAACAAAACAAATAGTACGGATAGAGACCATTGTCAACAACCAAACCCGACTACCTGGGATGCAACATCGACTAGGTTGAAGTCAAGATGTGACCTGTCAGGCTATTGCCCACCAATCAACGGAACGGAAAGTATTTGAGATAAATCCCTGTCGGTCTGCAGGGATCACCGCTGATCACGCCCGTGCACGTTACAACAGAGTCCGAATCCAAGAATGGGCGCAGCAGGATAGGGGAATTCAGAGAAGCGGGAGAGGACGTGCTACGGGAACTAGAGCGAGTCGGAGAATTCACTAGTTTGAATGTCATTCAGCTCGATATCAAAACATACAAAGAATCGGAAAAAAAAAAGGGGGTGAGGTAGAAGGACATGTGCCGTCAGACAAGGACCAGAACATGAACCACCCTCAATTAAAGGTGGACCGAACGGCCTCGCATCCGCCGCTGCTTCCTGACTGTCGGGCCTCCCACGCTGCGCAGCGGGGGGAGGCCCGAGCGCATCACGTGGAGAGCATGCCCTACTTTAGGCTGTTGCACGGTGTATCCACCAAGAGCGAGAGCGATATAGAGAGGGGGGACCGGAGTGGCGCATGGACTAGCACGCGGAAAGGCTTCGCTGCAGGACGGCCATTTGAGAATATCAGGAGTAATCGTGAGTAGTCGCGGACCAGGGTCCAAACGGAGGTATTGGTGCATGTAGATGTTTGAAATTTGCCATCTCAGGCAATCCTGGACTAACCCCTGAGCTCCTGTGATTGGACAAGAGCTCTCGGGCTTCATGCTCGGGGACCACTTATTATGGTTCCCGATCGGTAGGAAACCGTTTTGGCTTCGATCCTCAACGGGCGTGAAGAGCCTGGGTGCTGGTCCTGATGCTGTCACTGGCCCCGCTGCTGGTGCTGCCGCTGGTGGCGGACAGGGGAGAGGGACATGGATCCACCCGTTGGAGCCGTTTTCTGTTTTTCTTTTCTTTTTCTGCTTTAGGTTGGCATCCTTCAGCCTTCGTATCTTCACTGTACCTATATAGGGAGGTACATACTCCGTACTTACGATATAGGAAGTAGTAGTAACTGTAGTCAGTTACGGCCAGGGGATGCCCTCATTAGTTGCCTTTTACCATTACCCATACCCATACAGTACTCATCACCATACCTCGTATGTATGTATGTACTTATGTACATATGTACATAGCATGTCCATACCGAGATACGAGAACCCTTCCACGCCGCCGGTGGAGCCCTCCTTGCCATCAATACCAGCTACAGATGAGATACTCACCAGTAGTTCGTCTATTCTGGCCCTTGGCGATGGAAACGGGCCAGCGCCCCGCCCGCAAGCCGTCATCGTGGTGGACAGGGCCCGCTGACTGGCTCTCTCAACAAGCTGGATGGGTTTGACAGCAGTCCCACGAACCTGTTCGCTTGCGCCCGTGTCCCCCGCTGTCGTCTCTTGGTGCTCTCCTCTCTGCTCCATCCGGAAGGATTTGGAGAGGAGAAAAGAGGGGGGCGCCAACAAGGGTCTACCGGGAATGATTCCCCATTTGATCATGATGAACGGAACACCTCCGTCAAATACCTTCAAGAGCGAGTAGAAAAGGGAGAACATGAAAGAAAATTCTGACAGGCGACGCCGAACTGTCTACCTCCACCCCCCAACTCGACCGGGTAGGTTAGGCTGTCTATCACTGGGGCATAGTGGGATCAGTGGCCGCCCCCTTGGGCCCCTCTGCACTCGATAGAGCCAACCACGTTGACCACCTGCCGCCGGCCCAACCCTATCTACCCGGTCCAAACTCAATCGGAGAAGTTGAACGAACTTCCCAGCACAAAGGTACCCATGACATCTGGCGCACGTCCTTTCCGTCCTCTTTGGCTCTCGGCCCTTATCCAACTCACTTCCAGGAATATTGACTCTATGTGAACCATCACCGTTGAAAAAGTAACTTCTTCCCGGGTTGCTCCCCGTTTGGACCTTGTGTGGCTCTTTGACTATATACCACCCCCCCTTTACCTCCCGCCCCTATCCTGGGTCTTAGTCTGTGATACGGGGCGGGAAGCTGAGAGTTTAATTTTTTTTAATTTTTTTTCTTTCCTTTTTTAATTTAATTTAATAAACAGACCTCACCTACGGATTACAGTATTGGACCTGGGTAAAGGGGTGACGCTGTGGATTTTGTGCGAACTGGTGGACGAGGCGATGTGGAGCTGCGGAGTGCACGGCAAGTGTCATAAGAGTCCAGCCGGGTCTTTTTATCTCATTCTAGCTTTTTCTTTCCTGTTTCTTTTCTTTCTATTTCTCCCATACCATCGGGTCGATGTTCAGTCATCGAGGTTCTCGATTTTTTCTATGATCGTCGTTTCGCGAGCAAAATTTACGTATCACAAATTGTCGAGCCGAGCAAAATGAAAATTCGATCGAAGCTAGTCCCGTCACCGAGCGTTCTCCGAGTCCCTTTGAGCCGCACCTGGGGGCCAACTTGGTCGTTTCAACAGGGAGCACGGTCTGCGATTACCCCCTTGTGGAATAGTGAGAATGTAGTGTGCTGGTGGCTACACTTTTGACTCCTAGTTGGGTTTCAGAGCGTTAAAACGGTGCTTTTGTAATTCTCCTAGCTCATCGAGGATGGCAAATCTCAGCTTGACATGGCTTTGTGGAAAGACACTCGATCTACGGATTTTAAGAGTCCTGGAGTGGATTGGGTACACAGGTCGTCTCCATACTAGTCCCTGCCATGATGCAATAGTCGCTCGGATCAGCCGAGGTCAGCCGTGTGGCCAACTCCGAGTCTCTTACTATTTACCATTTTAGTATAGTACACACGTGATGTGATTTATCCCAATTTGGACTAGTTTGTGATAATTATGCAAATCCCAATATACTTGTCAATACCACCAGGATAACTTCGGATTTTTTTATACCTATCAATCCAATGCAAATAGAATCTAATTATAAGGAGTCCTTTGCCGGGATGCTGACGCCTTCAGGGCTTCTAAAACCGAGCGACAGTCTAGACCGTTTGAATTTCTAAAGTATAGTACTCGTAACTGGCAATAAGCATGTCTCATATTCCCGGCTCCACTAGATCAACGGGACGGGATATATAGTATCTAACAAGAACTGGCATTCACTACTAGTAAGTATGTACTACTAGGGTCTGGAACACCGGCTCTAACCAGTAGTACTGCAGGAAGTTTCCTAGGTACTGAGGAATACGGAATACTTTTGTGGTAGATGAGCTGGGAACGCCGCCACCCAGGCGAATCTAGCGTGGGCTTCTCAGCCTAAAGCCGACCATCGTCCATGGTGTGCGCCGCCTGCAAGCCACACCAGTCAGATCGCTGCACAGGCGAACACGGTCGGCTGCCGCTCTCCGCACAGAGGAAGCAACACGCTATGGCAAAATGACACCACACATGGGCAATTGTTGTGGGGAAACGATGGAACAATTACCGTACCGCAAAGGGAATCCAGGCATGCTCGTGGGGTGTTTTCCCGGTAACGGGAACGGGCTTGAGACAGAAACGAGGGCGTTGATGCAAGGGATGGACGCGAGAAGGTTGGGTGATCAGGAGATCAGGAGATCAGTAGATGTAAGGTTCGAATTGTTTAGGTTTGACGGAGGTCTGTCATCTTTTGCTTTTTTTTATTTTCTGCCCGCTCCTTGTTAGGCTGGGGATACATTTTCCATCCATTATTGAAGGTGAAGGTTTGAGTCTGTTACACACTGCCAAGATCGAATCGGCCTGCTGCCGGGCGAGGCCATATTTGGTTTTCTTGTTCGGAAGACTTGACCAACTGAATTGTCCAGCCAAAATTAAGATTCGGTCTCGTAGAAGATCAGGGGTTTCCGGCCTGGACGCAATGCGGTTATCTTTTCGCATCGGCATGAAACCGAGAGCATGGTTCTAAGCACCATGTGGCCCGCACCAGGGAGCCTGCAGTATGCACAGCTAAAGAATGAGGACCTGAAGTGATGAGACTCGGGAACTGGCATGTTTCAAACAGTTCCCCTCCTTCCTAAATACTACGCATAGTCTAGCGTCATTGATCTTCATGATTGCCCGTGCGGCGATCCAGAAAGAAACTACTCCTCGTTCTCTGCACCACCGTAGATCAATTTGTATGTGTCGGCCGATCTCTCTTTTTCTCAATCTTCCAAGGAGTATATGATTCATCACTCCCAATATGCACCCGGAAGTCATTGCCGGCGTGATTGTACCTAATGAGAACTCTATCTAGTGTGACAGTGATGACCAAGGAAGCCTGGTGGTGGGAGATCCTAGTATGTCAGGAGGTGTCTTAGCACGGACATGCACTCTGATCTCATCGTTTGAAGGCGAGACACGCCTCCACAAAATGGGGTAGATTCTGGTGAGGGCTTTTTACTATTCGATTAGCTTGTCTAAGAGTGAATTCGTGTGTCTCGAAGCCGAGGTTGGGGTTGATGCATGGAATTGCTGACTATCAGAGGTCTGTTCGCTGCATCTATCTGAACTTTGCACCTGAACTAGTTGTATGTAATAGATTGCATGCATCTGACAAGGTAATCTAGAATACAACACTCGTATAGGTTACCAAACAGGACATGAAAATGACCATTTTGAGACAGGTACAGCATTGAGCTGCCAGGTAGCCGGGCTAACTCGGTCTTCTTAGACACGGTAGAAGATGGGGATTGTCTCAATAGGGCAATCCACCTCGACCTCTGTGCCGCCCTTGTACACACCGGGAATGCCACTCTGGGTGGCGCTTGTTTTGCCCCAGAGGGTCCAGTATGCGCCGACGGGAAGATAGACGGTGATCTTGCGTTGACCGGGCTCAAGTACTGGCACAACTAGATACCGCGATCCAAACATATACGCCGTCTCAACCTCCCAGGCCCGTTGGTCCTGAGGAAATTCGTAGAATACCGTTCGAATCACTGGGGTGCCTTTCTCATGCGCCTCTTTCATCAATTCCCGAGTGTAATCGCGCAGCTCCTCACGAATCCCAATAAACTTCTTGCAAATTTCGTAGATTTCATCGCCATAGGACCATATCTCGTTATCTGCCCCACTGGCAGTTGGCTGTCCTTCTGGTTTTGGCTCACGATCCCCATGCAATCGCATCACAGGACAAAATGTACCCCATTGAAACCACCTAGCAAATAGCTCACGGAATTCTGGGTCGTCGGGGTTACCGCCATGAAACCCACCAATATCTGTGGTCCACCATGGAATACCTGCAAGTCCCATATTCAATCCTGCTGCGAGTTGATTCCGGAACGAACCCCACGAGGATGCAATATCGCCACTCCAGACCAACGCACCGTAGCGTTGACTGCCGGCCCAGGCACAACGAAGTAAGTTAACGATGTTAGATTGACCTTCCGCCTCCATTCCTTCGTAAAATCCGCGAGCATACTCCTTTGGAAAGATGTTTCCAATCTGGAGGTTACTACCAGCATGATAGCGGAAGATATCGAAATCGTAGATAGAATATTCGGGTTCAGCCTCATCGAGCCAGAATACCTTGATACCATGCTTATAGTAGTTCTTCTTGGCCTTGTTCCAGACATACTCACGGGCCTCTGGATTCGTGGCATCAAAGTGAGTGATATCACCATCACATTGCATTGCCACTCGTAAGCCACGATCGTGTCGAATTAACAGACCGCGTTCCAACATTTCAGGGTAGTTCTCCGATTTATTTTCGACTGTTGGCCAGACAGAGACCATAAGCTCTACCTTAAGCTCTTTAAGCTCTTGAATCATCGCATCTAAAAGAGCGTAAGAAACAGTCAAACACTTATGGCAGAGGGTATTATCGATTTACCAGGATCAGGCCAAAATTCTGGGTCAAAGCTCCATTCTCCTTGATGCTTCCAATGGAAGAAATCAATTACAATCAAGTCCAGGGGAACCTCACGGCGATGATATTCTCGAGCAACATTCAGTAATTGCTCCTGGTTCCAATAGCGTAGCTTGCACTGCCAGAAGCCCAGTCCATATTCCGGCATCATTGGTACATATCCAGTTACCTTTGCATAGTGCTCTTCAATCTCAGCTGGCGTATCGCCGGCAACTACCCAGTAATCGAGAGCTCGCGTGGAATACGCTTCAAAGCTCATGACATTGGTCCCAAACATTGCGCGACCAATACCTGGATTATTCCATAGAAAGCCATATCCTCGAGATGAGACGGCAAATGGAACACTCGCCTGGGAATTGCGATGCGCTAATTCCAAATCCGTACCTTTGAGATTCAAGTAAGGTTGTTGATACTGCCCCATGCCGAAAATCTTCTCTTTGCGGTCCAGAGACTCGAAACGCATGGTAAGATGATAATCACCACCGAGGATGGGCCGTAACTCGCGTGCCTCAATTTCCAGAGCACTACACTTTGGATCACGAGGGTCTCTTCTGTGACGTGCGTATTCTTCAAGAAGCTTGGTTCCATTCGAGTTGTAGATGGTGACTTTGCCCCGAGCCGAAACTGTGGCTTTGATTTTCCCATGAGTTATGCTTGCATCTTCCCCGCTTGGAATATCTATATGTACTTGTTGGCTTGAAGGCTTGGATGCGAGAGCCCAGTCTTCTGTTGGCATTGATGATAGCTTGGTCGCTCGTATGCGGAACGCATTCTCGCCCCAAGGTTCGACCCAAAGAAGGTGGTCGTCAAAACGAAAAACGAGCGTTTCATTTTCAGAATACAGCATGATTAATTAATATTTTAATGTGCTGGGTGATTGAAATTGAGCGAGGCTGTGGTGATGAGGGGACGTCGAGGTTGTAGGTAGTACCAGTGGGGTCTGTGAGGGGTCAAAGGTCGAGTCACTACTAAAAGAACACGGCATTATCTCCGTCTCAAATTTAACCAATCTTAGAACATACAAAAACTGTATATTAGCGAGGAGCTATAAGTTATTCTTTCATTTTGTTTAGTCGTAGAGCAGTAGGACTAAGAATACTGGACATGTTATTCGGAGCGTGATTGTATACCTGAAACAACAGCGTTCCCATATTAATCTACCAATAGTGTGATTGTCGTGTATAATATTGTAGTATAAATATAGATAGATACCCCCACTTTGAAACCTCGAAAGGATTAATTATTTTTGATTTATGAGTGAAATTTGACGACTGAACCTTTCACATTCCTCCTCCTTTTAAGGGTTTGAACGGAGTATTCTCGAGAGCCAGAGTTGGGTAGTGATCTGAAATTAAAGAGACGTCTAAAGTCTAATAATATAGGGAATCCGTGAGGCTAATAGTGATCGATAAAACTGGAATGAGTAGTACCTGTGAGACATAAAGGGCACATTTCGAACCTCAACCATCTGCTGCGCTTAGCCCCCAATCTTCAGACACAATTGCTGACACGTAGCATAACCAGCTGAGTCGTTGTGAGCAGTCATTGATCAATAACATTGATTTTAACCCAATGAGAAACCTGGTGGAATCTGATCTTCCCTCTCTCCATATCCCTCGACAGAATCAAAGAACGTTGAAGAGGTTCAAGTTAAACACCAATCTCCCCCCACACGCTAGTCCCAACTAGGCGGAACCCGGGAAGCTACAACTTCTTCTCTTTCCCTCTCCCAAACGATCCGATCCGTTCAATCCCTGCGACATTCAAATATTAGAACCAATGGCGGACACATCTGTCAATGGCGATCGGCTCGTTGCCGATGCCTCCATGGACATCGATATGGACATTGACCTAGGCCCCGAGCCTGAGCTTGACCCCGGAGTCGAGCTGATCCAAGCTGTGAGTCTTCCCGCCACATTGCGCCTGTCAAGCGCGGTCGATACTGATGCCTCGTTGTTATCATATAGGATTCAGCTACACAAGCCGAGTCTATTGACCAACTTGCCGAAGAGGCAATCTACGAGAAAGTTCACGTGCGCGGCGTGGATGAGATGACCACCGAGAATATCAAGCAATTCGCCCATAGCCACTTCGACCAGGAAATGCCGTCTCGCATCGAGTGGATCGACGATACATCCGCCAACATCTTATATTCTTCTCCAGAGATCGGCCTCAAAGCGCTCGCGGCCTTGACGCAAGTCGGCGAAGAGGGGGAGGATGGGTCGGCCCTCCCACCTCTCCGTCTTCGGTCGGCGAGGCTCCTATCCTCCCACCCAGATTCAGTTCTACAGGTCAGATCAGCCGTGAAAACCGATCGCAAACAGGCACGCGCACACGAAAAGAGTCGATTCTACCTCATGCACCCCGAGCACGATCCCCGCGAACGCCTGCGAGAGGAACTTTCAGACCGAAGACGCGGGGACGACGACGGTTACCGAAGACGCCGATTCGACGACCGAGAACTGCGCCGGCGCAAGGACCGCGACCACGATGAAAGCTTCAGTGCCAACATGTACGATGATAACCCAGCGAGCTACTCCGACTCGGAACGCGACCGTGGTGACCGGAGACGACACAGATCGAGGGATCACTCCCAGATGAGAGTTCATCTGGAAGACTTCGTAACCGCAGCGCCTCGCCGGGCCGAGACACTCTCGATGATACAGGCCGTGTCGAAACCAGCAATGACCGCAGGCGGTTCCGCGAGCGGTCTCCCCGTGGAAGTAAAGGTCGAGAGCTCTTCCCATCGGATTCGGGTGCCCGTGAACTCTTCCCCAATAAGCCTTCGTCAAGCTATCTCAAGAAAGAGCTGTTCCCGAGCAAACCCAGCAACCATCGCCGATCTGATGCTTTCGATGCGGCAGATGAGACACCGGATATTCTGGGTCGCAGGATTACTGTTCCACCGAATCGCAATGTGGAGCTGTTCCCTGGCTCAGTGAAGGAGGACCAGGGGGCTGCAATGAGAGGCGCACAGCAGGGCATGTCTATCAAGGGCCGAGGTGCATCGCTTCGCGAGTTGTTCCCCGATAAGTATAACAATAACAGCAATGCTGGAAAGGAGCTGTTCACCGAACCCCTGGAGGGACGTGGAGGCCGTCGGCGGAAAGCAGAAGATCTATTTGGTTGAGCTGGACATTATATATACAATCTTAAGTGACGAGCATTCTTATTCCATCGTTTCGTGAGGAATTCATCGGCAGCATGATTCGATATGGCGTTGCGGGGAGGATTTGATAGAAATTGCATGACGCATCCTTTGCTTTGCGCACCAAATAAACGTTTATGTATTGTAGAACTTCTTCCGATTTATTTCGAAATAAGTGACAACAAAATAATCAATTTCCCTTCCAAGTCAGAGTTTCGCCAGCTTTGTCGAATGAATGTGGTGGAAAGAAAATAGTCAGTCCGCTTGAAGAATAGCCCGCCGAATATCAACGCGGCGCCACATTCAAATTGGATCTCGACTTCGAGTCTCCGCAGGCCGCAACACCAAGTGATGGCACCGACCGCACCGATCGAAGTTCTGACAACCGCGCTGGTTGCGCGGTTCTTAAGAACGAACAATTACTCAGAGACCCTCAAAGCTTTGATTCGCGAGGCCGGACTTGCTTCCGACGTGGGGCAGAGCTCAGGCGACGACACCAACAACTGGACCATCCAGGGCCTGCTGGAGGAGAAGAAGGCCTATGATCACAGTGCGAACTTCGAGCGACACGGACATGACAGTACAGAGACTGCTCTATGGAGCGAGCCAGGTATGGGCTAACTATTTCCTCGGGATCTGTAGCAATGGCGCATTCAGACAGGCTGACCAATCCACAGCACCGAGTAAACCACGCATTGTTTCGATCCCGACATCATCGAATCTTCTTGCAGCATCAGTTGAGCCATGGCAGAAACCTCGTGATGACGAGACGCTAGTCCCATCACCAGGACCGTTCATCGTTTCCACGGGGGCCGATAGACAGGTGCATCTACTCGAGACTGCAGCTGGAAACGCACAGTATGCTTCATTTTCTAGTCTATCAGACTCGCCTGTGCTTTCCTACCTGTCGGTCCTGGAGGGACGCTATGTACTAATGACCAACATGTCGGGACAGTTGCTTCTGCAGCACGGATCTCGCACGCTAGACAGCAGAAAGGACCATGCAAAATATGCTGTCAAGGTGATTGCCCACAAAGACCGCAATGACCCAAACGTGTTTTGGGTTGCAACTGCTGGCTGGGACTCAAGTGTAGTCTTATATCGCTTGCATACCCTGGTCGAAGCCAATGAGGATGCACTTTCACCAGTGCTTGGGGAACCCGTTGCTCGTATCAAGACAACGTCAAACCCGGAGTCTATAGTTTTTGTACCCCATGTCGACACAGGCGAACTGATTCTCCTCGTTTCTCGCCGCGATTCGTCCTATATCTATTACTACGAGGTTGAATCCGTGCCAACGGACACAGGGATCCAGAGCCCAACGGATTTCGAGTGTCGCCTCATGGGACGCCAGAATCTGGCACCCCATTCGAACGCCTGGGTTGCTTTCTCTCCAGCACACATGGCACTCAGTCCTCACGACCCCGGTCTTTTGGCTGTTGCTACCTCGACATTACCCCACATGAAAGTGATAATCGTGCGTCTTCTATTCCCATCCACTGAAAAAGAGGACGAATCGAACGCATCGACCTCGGATGTTGCAGTCACGCAAGCTTCTCAGGCATTGGAGGCTTTGGCACTTCAGAACAAGGAAGATGCAGCTATTTTGGTACAGGCCAACGCTTTTGCACCACAGACGGCATACTCGACTCCACAAGTTGCATGGCGGCCTGACGGCTCGGGGGTCTGGGTAAATGGGGATGATGGCGTGGTTCGTGGACTCGAAACGAAAACTGGGAAGCTTATAACTGTGTTGAAAAATGGCCATGAACCGGGCTCTAAAGTGCGTTCTGTTTGGGCGGGATATGTCGATGTGTCAAAGGAGGGCAAGGACACAATTCGAGAAGAATGGGTTATCAGTGGTGGATTTGATAAAAAGTTGATCGTTTGGCAGGTATAATCTCTTTGTACATATCGAACTGTCAAGAAAATATTGATTTCATGGAAAGATAGTATGACATCACATGAGTTTGAGTAAAACTTGATATTGATTCGAACAAAACTAATATACTGCTTACGAGGATTGTAGCCATCCATAGAATACCCACCCGTTCGCCACGAAAGTGCGAAAAGGCTATAGGCAAGAGGGCAGGGGATACGTTCTTGGCACGTAATAGAAAAATCCTTCAGCAAGCGCGCATAGAAAAGCACGTTGCTGTACACACATATGCCGTGGTGGTTGGGGGGAAAGGGGACTCGAGACCTAAGCTCGAGAGTGAGTGGAAGTCTGTCTTCCTCCGCGCGACAGAAATAGATAGTCCTGAACGCAGAAAGAAGACGCAAGAAGCAACTAGATTCGCGTGAAGCGGGAGAGGAACAGAGCAAGGGAAAAACCCGCTCAAGGATTGGCGTCGCTGCGCCTTTTTCGAATTTAAGCCTGTTGGATTTCTGTTTATCAAACAACCCCGAACATGCCGCGCAAGGACTAAGCAGAAAACCAGGCCTTATTCGAATGAGCGGACCGTTCGTTGGTCATCGCACGTTATTGTCCCCGTGTCCTTGCGCGCTCGCTTCTCAAGCCATTTCCATTTTTCAACGTCGTCAAATTTATGCCTGCTCACGCTTGCCCTCCTTGCGCTCCTTCTGTTTTATTTGTTAGCTTTCGTTCCGCTGGAGTATTTCGACAGCTTGGAATTGTCGAGAACGGGTTGTGAGGCGTATGGTTGAACGTACCAGGGCCTTAGCGGTGCCGTGAAGAGCGTGACGGTGGTTGCGGCGGAACTTGGGGTCGACACCCTTGAGGGAAGGGTAACGGTTGGTCTTGGGCTTCTTGATACTGCACAGGAAATCATCATCAGTGGCTGGTCGGGGTATTATTGCGAGGCGAAGTATGAAGTGTGGTGATATGGCATGCATGGAAGCTGAAGGTCGAAGATCTCGTGTCGGCTTGAACGGATACTTCAATTTGGTTCAACTTGCAACACCATGTTCAAGTCCGAACAGTCGATCTCCTCCTCCTTCAACCAAAGCAAAATGACCGGGGTGCATCGTGGACGAGTCTTCAAATTGGTTCATGCCGGAGAAATCGAGATATAAGGGAATACGCACCCGTTACGGTGAGCCTTCTGGCTGGCGTGGTGCTGGGACGCGTTCTTGGACTCTGTAGAGCGCAAAATGTCAGCGATCGATAATTTTTTTTTCACGAAGGGCGTAATAAAGGCCCTGGTATATTCCTGGAGAACGTACTGGCCATCTTGTCGGATGTTGTCGTTAATTGACGTGGACGGGATGGTGGGAGAAGAGTTGGTGACGGAGGCGGCCCAAAATGGAGGTCGGCTAGGGCTTGTGCCGTTTGTGTGGGATCTCGCTTACCGCCGTGGTGCACGGACGTTTCACTATGGGCTGGACTCAGAACAATGCTGCCCCAGGCGGATCAGGGGTCGAAATGTTGGAGATGGATTGTACTGATCTATTTGATTTACTCTAATAAAACTTCGGTTTATCCATTCCATTATCAAGGGTAATGAGTTCGTTTCTGATGAAGCCCAAAAAGTTTTCAACTTCACGTGATTCAACGCATAAAACTCTCACGTGATCTTGAAGTATAGAGGTTCAGCTGCGTCAAGGCCAATGCAAACTGTCTTGATGACTCCGTATCATGTTTTGACGAGTTGCAGTGATCTATTTGCGCAAATTACTATCCAAATTTACCGGTGATTGTGTTTTCATTGACGCGACTCTTCGGTATCAGACATTTGCACGCGTTAGAGCCTCTCGGGAAATACCGTGACAAGAAATTAAATTTAAAACGTGTCGATATGGTAATTTGAGAAAAAAAAAGAGTCGAAATATGTGAGCAGGTCTACTTTGAAGGTGCCATGAAATATGAGAATCCATGACAATGCAAGCATGAAGGATTTGGCCTCAATATTGAACCCGTTTTCTTCCACAAGATGGAATCTCTTCTGGTCGGCGGTAATGATGGAACAGAGGAAAGAAAAAGAGAGCAGAACAGAGGGAGAAGCTGAAATCATCATTCCTAACACAGAATAATGAGTCACACTGTATAATTCAACCTGGGATAGATAAATACTCTATGTACTCCGTACTTACAAGGTCGGAAGCAGTAGTCGGACGGAGCAACAGATTGATCCCGGGTGGTCTCACCACGTGACCCGGAGCGCCGGTTGTTCCCTAGCGCGGTCCGACTTCGACCTTTGCAACGCAGACGCATCAATCAAGAGGGATCCCTCCAGCCGTTCCAACCCCCAATCATTGCAAGATGAACTCCTTCCGCTTCGCTCGCTCTGCCCTCCGGGCCCGTCCCTCCATGTTCAGTGCTCCTGTCCAGCGCCGTGGATACGCCGAGGCCGTTGCCGACAAGATCAAGCTGTCCCTGACCCTGCCTCACCAGGTACGTTGAACCTCCCCGGACTGACCTCCGCCCGCGGATATGTAGGCTAACTTTGTATCTTTTTGATAGACCATCTACCGCTCGACCGGCGTGTGCGTTCTTCCATCCTGCGCACCCACCTCTGTTCCTCCCTGAATACTGACGAATCTTTCGCGACTACAGTACCCAGGTCAACATCCCCGCCGCCTCCGGTGAGATGGGTGTCCTCGCCAACCACGTTCCCTCCATCGAGCAGCTGAAGCCTGGTCTCGTTGAGATCCTTGAGGAGGGTGGTGCCACCAAGCAGTACTTCCGTATGTCCGACCTTCGACCCTATACTCGACCTGCTAGAGAAATGTCGACAATGGAGTGAAAGAGTGAATTAGCTAACAATCAACGCAGTCTCTGGTGGTTTCGCCGTCGTCCAGCCCGACTCCCAGCTCAGCATCAACGCCGTCGAGGGCTTCCCTCTGGAGGACTTCAGCGCCGATGTAGGTTTTGTTGATACTTCGCGAACAACCCGCGGATAATAGTGATGGATGAATGAGCGATACTAATTCGTGTCTCCTCTAGGCCATCCGCAACCAGATTGGCGAGGCTCAGAAGATCGCCAACGGCAGTGGCAGCGAGCAGGACATCGCCGAGGCCAAGATTGAGCTTGAGGTATGATTATCTTCACAACTAGCTGTCCAGTGACCCAGCATATACTAACTCACCAATAGGTTCTCGAGACCCTGCAGGCTCTCGTCAAATAGATGTACATATCCACTTGCGCGCTTCCCATCCGTTTGAACGTGTAGAATTACAGCAATTCGAAATTTCTTTTTCACCCAATTGGATTCTCCTTTCCCCCTGATTCTCGTTTCGCTCAAGGTTGATTTGATTTGATTTTATATGAGCTCCTTCCCGTTTTGTGGTAGATGGGATGTGCCTTCCTCCAGCGTATGCTCCAAGTCTCGTGACTCCCACGACCTCCCACAGTTAAGCTATACTCTAGTCGACAACTACCTCACTCCCCCTTTCCCCCTCCCCTTGACGCATAAACCATGCGATCTATGAAACACCCCCTCGGTAGAATTGACACTCGTCTCACTATGACTGAATCCCTTGGGGATGATCACATTCATTCCCCTTCTTTCGCTTCTGTGATATTCATGGACGGCATGCAGCCTGCTAACCAAGGGACGGAAGAGACGGATCTTCTTATGGACTCCCACCTATCACTGCCTGTTCGACATCCCGGAAAGCGATACCCCCGCCTTGAACTCGATGTTGCCATGGACAAGTATCATACCCTGGATGATTTCGCTGAGCCTTTGAACCCCCAGAATACCCCGGCTTCGCACACCTACAGTGGCTCTGGCAGTCCGCAAGACACTTGTCGCCGTATCAAGACCGATAGTCTTCGGACTAGCTCTGCCCCTCAGGCATTGTTGATCGACTGGCGCCCCCCTGGCAGCTCACTAAATCTGCTTGAGAACGACGATCTTGTAAACTGTCAACCCCGACACTTCTCTGCAGATGATGAACCGCGTTCTACTACACCGATTACTCGAATAAAGAAATATGGCAAAGCTGCGGATTCTCATCCCAAGAAATCTTTGGCCGATATCATCTCGTCCGCAAGATGTGTTCGATTTTCTCCACCCCCAACGCCGTCTGGACACTCGCCGCGCCCATTTCAACGTCCTCTGCCCTCAATCGAACGAAATAAGGACTACATTTCTTCTTTCCGACAGCAGAAGCAATTCGAAAAGTGGAGAGTGGCAGCTCGTGCCAAAAGCCAAAGGGTCTCTCCGTACCGCAGCCCTAAAAAGTCGACACTACCAGCCTCAATTCAGTTGAACGCGCAACCTGAAATCTGCTTTTCACCTTCCAAAACGCCTCTGCATCAAGACACTGACACTTTCGGCACCCCACAGCCTCAGGAACATACTGAGACGTACTTCCATCCAGATGAAACCATCACCCCTACAGCGTATCAACGACCACTATTAAGCTTGGTCGCCGTATCTCTCTCCCTACACCATATTCGAAAAGCTGCCCAGTCGTCTGAATCAGGACTGCGAGCCATGAACCTCCAGTTATCATACTCACTTCGACCAATCGGCACTCGACTTCAAGACGAGGAAGCGCGGAATGTCGTGACCTGTGCCACGATGAATGACTTGCTCCTGTACGTCTTTTTCATTTTACCTGAATTCGTCCTGCGTGGGCCTCTCGCCATTCTCCATTATCTCAATCGCGCAGCCCATACACGGACTGGTCTTGCAGCACTTGTCGTCCTTCGCCTGTTCTGGTCCATCATTCTGGAGCTCATTATTCCAGTGCTGAGCAAGCTGGGAATGAACGCCATCGTGCGCTCCAACCTCAAAGCCAAATACTAAAGGAAAGGCTTCCAGTACCGGCAAGATACCCATTTGTTTCTCTTCGCGTTAAGTTACGCAATCATTCAAAAGCTCGACCTTGAACTATACCAACCTATCGCTAAGATATTCATGTCTCAAAGAATCCTCTCACCCCGCAGATTCCCTCATTTCTCTACAAAGTCCCGTCCTCATATTATGTCTGATTCCTGTTATGCAACATGGAGACTTTCAACGGTTAACTCGCATTCATTATGATCACAGAAGATGATAGATGTATTATACCCAGATTAATTTATATACCCAACTATTCACATACTGTCTTCCATTTCACTCCTTTAATTGATTTGGATAATGGAATAGCTACCGAGATAGGAGATCAGGTTCAAGTTTCATGCACTTTCGCTACTTGGGAGGACCTTGGATTTATTCACCCAAATGGATGTAGCCATACAACTTGCAAAAGGAGCCAGATTGCCGTCTTTTATTTTGATCATTAACATAGTTAACTACTACTAGTCACGTCGGCTATCATAAAGAATAACGTGGCATAAAAAATAAGGGGGAAAATCAAAATGAAGATCTGGTATATTGCCGCGAAGTGCATGACAACTCAACAACTCTGAACCAACCAACAATCATAATAAAAGATGAAAAAGAAAAACTTCCATAAAATCGCTTGCCTCGTGAAATCAAAAGGGATCCTACCCAAACAAGTCATTTCCATCGCAGCATATCCAGAAACAAAGAAAAACATCAACCACACTGAACATCGATCACATGTGGGGCCATTCATATCAACACGAGAGCTCCGAATTAGAAGCTCATTTTGTACAAGTCATGATGGTGAAATACATAAAAGAGGATGGGGAAAGGGTAAGGGGAAGGGGAGAGGAAGAGAAAACAAGCAAGCAACAAGTAAACCCTCGAATTTTCTTATTCAAACTCCACCCCGTGCTGTTGTTGCCTCTCTTGACGCGCTCGAGCCCGTTCTGCTCGTCGGCGTCGACGGTTATTAGCGTATGATCCACTGGCTTCCGTGCCGGTCCATGTAGGCGAAGTGACACTACCCGCACCGTAGGGCATACTAGAAGGGGCGGCATGAGGAATTGGAGGGGGTGGTGGCATGTCACTGATTTGTGAGTGTGGTGGAGCGAAGGAGGGAATGCTTCCGGCAGGGCCAGCAGATGTATGCATCGCAGCGGCAGCGGCAGCTTGCTCGCGCTGGATTTGTTGTGCTTGCTGCCTCTCCAGCTCCTCAACACGGCGCCAACGATCGCTCTCACGTCCCTCGTCACCAGAGATAGAGCTTGCGCTACCGTTGCGGCGTCGAGAGTCTCGGCGCTCTCGTCGTCTAGCTTCGCGACTAGCTGCTGCTTCTTGTTCGGTTAAACGACGAAGGGTCACATGGCGCCCATCGCCGTGCATCTTCACCTTCACTGATACCGGTGGGGACTCGACATGATCGTCGCGATGTCTACTGTCATCCCGGTGCCTGCTATCGTCTCGACGTCGACTGTCGTCACGGTGTCGGCTACCACTATTGCGACGACGGCTGGCTGCACCCAATGCTGCTGCTCCGGCAGCTCCAGCGGCAGCGCCGGCAGCCCAGTCCTCACCGTGGTGATCAGCGTGCGAAGAAGGCATCTCAGACACCAAGTCCTCCGAGTAATGCTGGTGCGCCGGCGGGATGGGAGGCATATCAGAAGGAGCCGCGTGGACAGCGCCTGATGCAACGGGTTCAGGAGAGAGAAGAGAGGTTTGCGTTGGCTGACGAGGTGGACGGGGAGTAAGATCGGTTGGTGTGAGGTCGCTTTCTGTATAAGAGCTGGGTCTGCGTCTTTGAGGATAGGGTCCTGCCTGCGATTGTGGGCGTCGCTTGCTGTTTGCTCTTTGCAGGCGTTCATCTTCTTCGTCTTGACGGCGGATCTCCTCCATTCGGCGTTTTTCTTCATCATCCTTCTTGCCACGGCTGAACAGTCGCTTCATGGCACCAAAAGCACCAGCACCAAGGAGTGCATCACGAACTCCATGCGAGGCCTTTCTGGGCGGCTCTGTAGAATAGGCACTATCGTAATAGTACGAGGAACCAGGGCTCTGGGTCCTGCTTGGTGGTCGGCTTGGGGTTCGGCCTGGAGGACGATGGAGGGGTGTCTGATGGGTGGGTTCCGGTCGTCCCTCTTCCAATCGACTGAAAGATTCTTCGCTGTAGCTGTCTGTGCGCGAATGGGCAGGTCTATACCGACCAGCCTCAGAGTCATCTTCACGCTTCTTTCGGCGATCCCACAAGCTCTTCGCAAGCATAGCACCTCCAGCCAAGGCACCAATCTCCATAATCCTCTTTCCCCAACCACCTCCTTCCTTGCTGTGGCGAGAGGATTCGTCTGAGTACTTCTCGTCTGACAAGGAAGTGCGAGAATCTTCGTAGGATTGGCTGGTATTCCGGCTCCGTGGTCGTCGACGGAACATCGAAGCCAGCCCTGCGGCCAAAGCTCCTCCAGCCAGCACTCCTCCAAGCCCACTATGGTGGTTATGCTCTTCCGTCATCACGGATGGACCGTCTAATCGGCTACCATGCTCACTGGGTAGGTGGTACCCCTCATCGTCGTAAAGATAAGAGAGTACAAAATATGTGACTAGAAGCGCGAATGCTGCAATGGCGAAGAGAATGAAAAGGACTTTAGGTGACCCGTACAGAGTAAGACCAAGGGGAATTTGAATGATCCCTAGAATAGCCAAGGTTCGACCGAGCCAGCGGTGGATCTGTATAATAGGTCAGCGGATGGATTGAAACTGTGATATTCTAGGAGGAAGCACTCACCACTAGCTTCAACGGCACACGATGTCGCTTTCTCTTGCTCTCCATCTTGTGTGTCAGCCAGCCCCACAAGACCTGGAAAATGACCATGACATAGATTGCTAGGCCAATTCCGTGGTGTGGGTTGGTCAGGCTCCGCTCTGGCCCCACGGCAAACCAGCCAAGTACAAACACCACTGTTGTCAAGAGGAGCGTCATGACCTGGCACCAGGCGTGTAATTTGAATGCCCAGTAAGGGTTCCATCGGGAGTAGTATCGGATGATTAGGGTTGACATGGGAACGATGCCCAAGAAGACGATGGTTCCGATGACACCGTGGGCAATAATTATAGAATGATACCCAGCCATATCCTTGAAACGATTCCCCATACCTGAGAAAAATATTAATTGGGCTGAATTAGACTCAATAGTTATATCATCCTTTACTCACCATTATATCGCATCGTTTCGAAATTCAGACCCATCAGATTGGGCAACAAGAAAGTATCGCGCTGCGTATCCCAGGTGCCATCTCCAACATGTAGTGTGTTCGACGAGTATGTGCTGCTTCCAGCAGCCGTCAACCCGGAGTCCGCCATTACGTCGGTTGCTCTCAAGGTCTCGTGCGATCGAAGATAACTGGAATGTCGGGATTACCGAAGGAGATCTCGTGTGATCTCCCGAACCGAGGAATGCACCATGCGACGGGGGCGAATCGATTGGAATGTTGTATGACAGCTGTCCGGAAAAATAAATTGCTTCGTTGACCGTGATTTAGATGGAGCTTGGTAGGTGTCAAGTGAAGGGCTGGGTCGGTGTTCTGGCGGTGTATGCTAGCGTGTGTACTTAGCAAGTAGGTTGTGGAGGAATGGAAGCACGTCGGGAGAGTTGTAGGAAAGAAGGAAGTCGTACAGGCTACGATGCACAAGTCGACTAGGGTGGAAGAAGATTGCAAAAACAGCCAACCGCAAGAGATTCGATGGAAAGCGAGCGAAAGTTGTACAGGATCAGATCAACACGGGCTGAGAAGGTACTCTCAGCCCGTGTCAACTGTTCTCCATTTCGGGTTTAGCGTGCCAGCGCATTCCCGCAGCAACGAGAATCTGCTAATCGTGACCGCCTTCCTATATAGGCCGGGATCAGATAAAAATCACCTGACGGGGGATACTGTGGTTATCTCGTTATCGGCTCGGGGTCTGCCGTCATTTCCTAACAGTGGAACCTGCGAGCTCGTCATCTCTCCCCCCTCCTTTTGTCGCAGGAACTCGAGAACAACAACAAAGGATTTGCAGAACCGCAGCAATGTCCGTACCACGGCAGGAGGTTTTTGTGCGGGCTCTGTCACGGTAAGTAACTCAAGCCTTGCTACGTTGCGGCGATCCGCAGCATATAGCTGTCTCCAAATTGGATGTTGAAGCTCGAATACTGACAAGTCGGAAATATGACAGTCTCTTGGGATGGTCCTAGTATGTCTATTCGATTCCTACTCCATATAAGTGCTATTGATTAGCAGAACTGTCTTACTAAATCCAATTCAAATATAGCATGTTTAGCTGGTCGGCATCCTTTTATCCCCAGCCGATCTACAATTTCCAACGAAAGTCAACCGCCGGCCTGGCGATCGATTTTCCAACTGTCAACTTTCTGGGGTTTGCGTGCTACAGTGTATACACGGGGGCCTTTCTATACTCGCCGTTGATCCGCGATCAGTATGCAGCACGGTACCCAGCCTCTCCGGATAACACTGTGCGGTTCAACGACTTCGCGTTCGCCGTACATGCCACCGTCCTGAGCATCATCATATATACACAATTTTGGCCATCTATCTGGGGATTTTATGTTTCGCGCTTTCAACGAGCTAGCAAAATAGTGCTCGCGTTGTTTTGGGGCTGTGTTCTAGCACCGCTGATACTCGTTTGGGTGGTGTTATCATGTAGTCCAGACGGAGGGTATGACCCTTCGACGTGGGCATGGATTGATGTGGTAAGTTTCAACCGGAAGAGCCGCTACAAAGCGCATGAGCAGTTTCGATTAGCAGACTAACGCAGGAACCCTTCATCCGATTTTCAGATCTATACATTCTCGTATATCAAGTTGCTTATCACGGTGGTCAAGTATGTGCCTCAGGCGTGGTTGAACTACAAGCGGCAGTCCACAGTGGGCTGGAGCATCGCCCCCATGTTGTTTGACTTGGCAGGTGGTGTGCTTTCCCTCGCTCAGCTGGTCTTGGACTCAAGTCTTCAAAGCGACTGGAGTGGGATCACGGGGAACCCGGTCAAGCTGATGCTGAGCAACGTCACCATTTTCTTTGACCTGATATTCATCGTTCAGCACTACATCCTATATCGGGAATCGGCGGATCCCAAGGTACAATCGGATGACGATCTGACCACGCCACTGTTGGGCGATGGCCATGCACCATCCCGTTCGCGTGGAGGATGAGACATCTGGTAAAGATTCGATCGATCATTGTTTAGATAGACCAGACCCGATCTATTGGATACTAAGGAGGGGCAAAATCCAAGACATCGATTCATTATGTGGGAACAACACTATTTTAGTAGAGTATCGAAGCCAGAAGCAGCATGGAGGAAGCGAGACAGCAGAATATTGGGGGCGGGCGCCAAAATACCTAGGAAAGGGACCCCGAAATCCCGAAAGCCGTGAGACATGGTTCATGTGGGCTCGTATTATCAATCCATTCGAGCTTCGGTAGTTTTTGATCATCCCCCGCTTCGTCATGTGTGAGATCCGTGGGTTAGGCTGAACTGTCAACCCGCCCTTGGGTGAGTGACCGATTAGTAGTACTCTGTGCATACTCCATACAGTACACTCTACGTTCCCTCCCGCTACTCTCACCCCAAGGCTCGGATGCCGAGAACGGTATATGGTGCGAAACAAAGCCTGGCCCGTAATTTACCCCTCAGCCCTACCAAACCGATCTAGACAAATCATTTGGAACTAACGGAAGTCAACGGGTGGCTTGAAATCGGCATGAGCCCTGCAGAGGTGACGAGTCGGGCTCTTGAAGCGGAATTCCGAAGCGCATCAGCCCTAACTTTCCCCTCTGTTGGGCCTGGGGGAGGACACCGCTTCTCGCGTTTGGGAGAGTGCAGCAGATTGAATCCTCCCGCCTGGATGCTTGCTTGTGATAGGTTCATCATGGCGCTAAATGCGAACTGACCAATCAGATCTGCTCCTTGGCCTGTGACAGGGATCAAGGGCCGGCTCTAATCGTCGGTGTCGGGCAGTTCGCTGATCAGCTGAACTTGATCGAACGCACCCCAGGCCGCATTCCAATGGTCTCTTCTGGACTGTACCGCAATCCCTGCTTGTTTCAGGAAGGATCGTCAATGTAGTATGCTGTCTTCAAATCCATCCATGCTGTCGATATCGATGAGCCCCCATACTACCTCGGAATTTGAGCATAAGTCCTAGAACCGTGAATGCTACCTTTATGTTGCCGTTGCGTCCAGGCGCCCATAATCAGCTAACAGTGACCAGCTACCAGCTACCTAGATCCTATAATTCTGACCCTGGGGCTGAAAATACATGTAATGTAGGTAGAAGCCATGACAGATAGGATCATGATGCGTACAAGACCAACTAGGAAGATGGGATGACCGAGAAAGAACTTTGAATGCATGCCCAGATACGGTGCATCTGGATATGGATACTTACTCCGTACTCCTTAGACGAAATTTGGGGGCGGAATTTGAATAATATTTTTTTTTAATTCATAACTTCCAAGGTTGTTTGTTGTTGTTCTAGTTGATCTCATGGGGATGTTGGAGGATGAGACAACCGCCCTCTATCAAATCATATGTCGCGACAAGCGTCTGCAGATTGAATGGCCCCCATCTTGAAGAATTCCAATTCCCGATGTGTAAGTCACTTTGACGAGGTCCATGCCAAAAGTAGACCCGGTAGACCCAGTAAACCGGCGCACATTATTGTTTGGTGGTGGCTTTGCAGTGGGACTCTTACTTGGACCCCACCCAATCAAACGACACCAAGACTTTCCGCTTTGGGACTAACGCTGCGAGCTTCCTCCGTCCCAGACTCTTCGTCTTTCCCCCCAACTCCACCCTCCTCTCGTAAAATGGGCCTATCAGAGTGTAGCCCGAACAAAGTTCAGTTCTTTATTTTGTATTATTTTATGATTTTACTTCGCTTTTCTTTTTCTTTTTTCTTGTATTTTGGCTTTTTTTCCCTTTTTAGTGGCCCCTGCCGTTCCACAAGTGACCCGTTGGTTCAGCCCTACTCAATCGACGTATTGGCTCTTACTCGAACTGCCAGATGATGCATGGACAGCATGCCGCCCATTCTGAATCATTGTGATTCACTGGCCTATTACCATGGGGTCCATCTACTTCCCCCGACCTGTACCAGGACTCTCTCCCCTCCCCACTTCCCTGCCCACCCTCATTGCTGAATAAACGGCTGGGGGACTGCATGATCTGTTTTTTTATTTTATTTTCTTCTTGATCCTTATTTACCCAACGCTGCCACCTGAGTCAATCTTGCTGCAGATCTCCTTGTTTCCAATCCAGTACGGAACGCCTGGCTGTTCTTGATAGCACTGCCTCGCCCAGAATTCTTTATATACTCATATCAAGCAGTCCGCAATTCAGGTTGTCCCTGGATGCAAGCCACATTTAAATCGTCCCTCGTTCCCTGGAGCTTATAAATCCCGCTCTCGTCATCTCAATTGCTCTTTACATTTAAGTTTCAGACAATCTATTTCAGTGGGTTGAACATTGAACTACACACCAAGGCTGATTGCCCAATTGTTGAACCTTTCGGCATAGGGCCCTCGGCTCTCTTCACTCGCCTGAAGCCTTGAAGGGTACTATTTAAAAGCAACCCTTGAACCACACTGTCAAAAGGAAGAAGAAATAAGAAGAAGAAGAAGAAGAAGAAGAAGAAGAAGAAGAAGAAAGTGGCTGCTATGAAAACGCAATACCCCCCATCGAACGCCCTGTTGGATTTTAACCAGGAGGTTGATCCTGTGTCTATTCTTTCGGAGAGGATTGTTTTTGCCAACGATATGGCATATTCGACATCCGGCATGTCTCCCAAGCGAAACGCCGGCTGGGAGACCAAGGGTATGAGAGCCCCCGTCCCTGGCAGCTCTGGGTGCAGCTCGCTGGACCCCTCCATGGTCGGCCTTACAGGGATTCCTGTCAGCTCATCCAGCGGTCATCCCCATTCGGCTTGCGTCAACCCACATGCGGGCTATGCTACCGCCCACCCGGATTCTGTAACATTCTTAGCCCCCGATAGTTATTTATCAAACCCACAAGACTCCCCAAATGAGCACATGGGCTCTCTATACAGCTGGTCTAGTACGTCCAACGCCGAAGAATTAAAACCATCTTCCTCCGTCGACTCTGGCGTCTGCTCTGCCTCAAACTCGCCCTTCATGCAATCCTATTACAATTTCGGGACCGCGACGCCAGCGGCACACCCAGACATGACAGACACAAACGGCTATACCCCGCAACAGATCAATAAATGGTGCATGGAGAGTGATCCTACCGACGGCAGCTTCTACCAACCTACAGCCTCTTACCCTGCCATCAGCCCGCTCGCATTTCCTTCCGCAGAGATGCCATCAAACGTCTACCCAACACTAAACCAGAGTATGAGCACGGCTGCAGAACAGTGGTTCCCGATGCCAGCAATCGCCAGCCCACCATCTCCCCACAACAATTCGATTCCAATCCCAATTCCAGCGCAGGATAACAGCTTCCTCTCACCATCCGCCACAGCTCTCTCATTCGACTCCTGCTCTGTCATCAGCACCTCTCCCGCTCCCACCCTCTCCGACTTCGAATCCAAGTCTTCCTCGCCCCCGTTCAACCCCGCTGATCTGACACGATTCGGAATTCCGGCTGGCGATGGGGTCTGGCGCTGCGCCCACCCGGGTTGCACATCACAGGCATTGTTTCGCCGGGGGTGTGATCTGCGTAAGCATTTCAATCGCCACCGCAAGCATCTCTTCTGTCGGCATGAGGGTTGTCCTCAATCCAAGCAAGGCGGGTTCTCCAGCAAGAAAGACCGTGCGCGTCATGAGGCCAAACATAACCCCGGGATCGTCTGTGAATGGGATGGATGTGGACGTGTGTTTAGTCGGGTGGACAATATGAAAGACCATGTGCGACGAATTCATCGACGGGGTGGAAGCCGTTGAACTCGAATCGAGATGATTGGATATCTCTGATGGTACTACGATGATATGACGATTTTAAGGATTTTCTTTATTGTCTCTTGTTTTTGTTTCTTCTTCTCTTCTCTTTCTGTGTTCTTGAACCTCTCGTCACATTTTCTTTTTTATTCTTCTCTTTTGGGAATGTATAACTACAAACTGGATACTAGCAGGGATACGGTGAATCGGCGAAATTTGGATTAGACTTCTGGAAAACATACATACTCCCAAGCCATCAAAACAGGCCGGAATAGGGAGGGGGAATTGGGGTCACACACACATGAATTACATTTATCGTTTTAAACTTCCAGGACACGTGGATCAAATGCAAACACGAAATGAATACATCAAAATGATCGCCCATATAGAGCCTGAGTAACACTGTAATTACGCCTTGGAATTCCCGGCGATCGGTACCGAGTCAGCCTCATTGCCAAAGTCTCAGATTCACAAACTCTCATAGGCGACCCTCCAGGGCTGGTAAAAATAGCACCTCGCCTATAGAACCTTCTTCTTCGCTATCCCAGCACAGACGTGGAGTCCCGACATGTCAGTTCCTGCCTGCATGTATGTACTCCTGGCCGGAATTCCGAGCTCAAAGTCTGATTTCGAATTTATCACACAACAAGCATTCCGGGGACACCGCCTCCCACTATTTTTAAACAATGTTAATGTCTGGATGGAATGACCTTCAAGTTTGGGGTCCGAACTACTATGACGAGAAGCAAGGCAGGGTCAGATTCACGCCCGCCCAATCAGTTGAATCTCAGCACATGACCAAGAGAGAGAAAAAGGACATTGGCTCGAGCAGATACGCTCCGTAGTCTACATTATGTTACCGGTAATTCCCACACCGTATAGCTTAATGCGTATGCGCATAGCGACAATGGATCTGAGGGGCTTTTACGCAGGGTTCAACCAACCATGAGCCTCCCCGCAGCGAGGATCTGCGCCAAGAGTCGCCCAGTAGCGCCCGATTAAGCCAAATAGTCGGTATGCAGTGGCTGAGCCTTGTTCGAGCGAGGGCGGGTTTGATTGGGGGTTGCGGAGCGTATCCCTGTGCTTACATACATAGTAGTGGGACTTGACTACGGAGTAAACTAACTCAATGCCTCACTTTTCGGGTCGGGGATAGATAGATACCGCTGGGCAAATTCTATCCAGCTTCCCTACGGAGCGGATTGATTTCCTGAGCTTTGCGTATTTCCCTTTCCCTTTTCGTTTTCATGCTCAGTGAGCGCCGCTTTTGTTCGCCGAGTAGATCTGAGCACGGATTAGCGACCACCACGTGTATGTTCTGATTACATAGATATCTGATCTCTCTAATTTCTCTGATCTACTTAGGGGGGGAATTATCTGACAAGCAAATATCACACGGTACTATGCAGCTGGCGAAATGCTAACTCTAATAGTACCAGACTAACCACAGAGTAAGCACATATGTAGTAGTGCTCCGTAATAACTAATTTGGCCCGCAACCAACTAGGGAAGGAAAGACAGCCGATCCCCACAGCACTTAAATCCGCCCCCAAACAGCCGCCGAAACACCTTCCCGATTGAAGGGAAATGTAGGAGACACTGACGAGAACTAAGCATATATCGGCAAGCTTAGGTGGACACGGGTGTACAGTGTAATCTGGACCTACCTTACCTTAGCTAGGAACTAGGGGCCAACCAAACCGGGTGATCAATCTCTTGGATTTGCCGAACTGGTACCATGCCTAGTGAAGATGGGAGCACTCGTTGGTATCGCGCTCACAGGCGCGAGGGTCGATGATTACGTAAATCGTGGCTACAATTTTCGATTATAGTTTTGTGAGGATGCCAAATTTGGAAGACCCGTCCATTTCGGGCGGCGGCCAATCTTCAAGTGGGCAAAGTTAGGACAAGGTCAACACCTCATTTATCAACCTTTCCCTCGTTTCTCTGCCCTCGATCGAAACAAATACTTCTTTTAATTCTTAATACGAAATTACATATTGACCAGCCCTTCTTCGATTACCACACAAAACATGGGAAGTTACAATAAGTTTACTGGATTTCAATTCTACCATTACATGGAGGGCAGTATTATGTGTGGCCATCCTTTGACTGCTCCACACTTTGTTGACATGGAACAAATACTCGCAATATTGCGTCTTGATCACAATATCCGTTTGCTGGACCAACGTGAAGAGAGCTTAAACTACAAAGCTCGTGCCTTGAAGAAGACGACAGACATCAGGAATGATATAGAACAGGTGTCAGTGAAGGACTTTGATTCCAAGATAATGGGTACCCAAGCACAACGTGTAAAGAACGAGTACACTATGTTTAGGCTAGTTTCTGGGCTTCCTCGATGGTTGAAAGACTCCTATCAGGAATTAAGGCGTGATCCTCTTTGGTATATGCGTGAAGAAATGGTTGATGACTGTGCTGATCGAGGTGGATGCTGCAGTCGGGGATGTGGATGCTGTTCTCGGAGATCCTTGTCAGAGAATACTAAAACCAGAGGTCACTGCACTATGGAGTGTTGGTGCTGCAGTAGTTTTCGGGATCCGAGCCTTACAGAGGAGGATCAAGTGTCTATTGCACGTGATTTAGAAAAGCTATTGGAAAGCAGAAGATATGTTTGCAATATGGCGAACTGGTATTTCCGCCCAATGAACTTGAAGCATAAGCTCAAGGGGGTTGGAATAATGGTCAAGAGATGGCTGTACGGCAAGTAAGGCTTTTGAAAATGACCTTAGAAGTCTGGTAATCCTCGGGAAAAGTTTAGCTCGAAATGAATGCTTCTAATTGCCCATTTTCCAATCAATCTATCACCTAAAGATACGGCCTGCTATTGTGATACCCAAGGTAGTACTGTAAAGCGAAATTTGCAGTAGGAAACTTATAAATACCAGTAAGCATACTCGGTGAAATATCCGAGAAGATGTGAAACTGTACTCATATTCTAATGAGATGTGGACTACATAAATAGGACCCGACCACAAAGTCTTCGCACGAAATCACTAAACATTACTAAGCCGGTTGTCATTATGGAGCCACAAGCGTTGTATTTTAGGTAGCAGATCAAGATCAGGCATCGTCCACAAAGAAGGAACAACACAAAATGGAATCAGCACCTGCAGCAACTACCACCCACAAGCGAAACCTTGATGTAAAAGGAAACAAAATGTGAATTAAACGAATGGAAGAAAGAGTATTCATCCTTTGATCCTGATCGCAATTTGTAGATCATGGCCACAGTGTCGATACTGCCATGTTGGTTGAGGCTGAAATAGATTTGGTCATGAAATTGAACTACTACGATGCAGGGGAACAGGGAAGATCAGTCGAACAATTCTCATTGTCTTTTATTCGAGTCTTGGATGAACCACTTCAGCTATAACCCAACTCTGGGTCTCCCAATCAGTTCATACCCTTGGAGTTGATCCGAAGAGCAGTGTCCGTGGTAGCCATCAGTATATGAGTAACAATACCCCCCCCTAATTATATCTTCACGTTTCTACGCATCATGTCTTCCTCTTCTTCAACTGCTGGCGGCCTCGCCAACCTTGTCCCTGGCTCCGTCCCTGGCGCTGGCTTCTCTGGTGATACCTTCACCAACAACACCGTCACCGTCTCCGTCAACCCCGACACGAATGCCACCACCACCTCCACGCTCACCTTCACTTACCACGATTATTCGTGGGACATGAAGGTGGCTGCCATCTCCATCGCCGTCGGTGGCTTCGTCGCTGTCGCTGGGCTTGTGACCACATGTGTGGTCACCCAGTAAGTGTCTTGATGCTGAACATCCCCAGTCTTACATTTAGACATTACTATCTATCAATATTATATCTATTACTATTTAAACTCCTACCATCGTATTCTTCTCTTCTGACTTCAAGCCTTAGACCATGGGCTCTTTGTACATTGGAACTTGAAGCTAATGGTATATAAAAATAGCCGCCGCCGCCATGCCCAGAAACTCCAAGCAATGAAGGACCCGGAGCATGCCCGTGAGGCCGCGAGGGACGAGGCCCAAACTCGTTCTGCCCCCGCCAAACGTCCAACGGGATACCTTGCCGTCGCCGTGTTTGGGGTTTGGGACTACGTCTGGACCGGGCGCCGCAAGTGTACGTAGCTCAAGATATAGGTTGGGGAGTATATACCTATAGTGTTACTAACATGGAAATGTGTCTCTAGCCGCCGCTGCCGCCACCTCCTCCTCCTCCTCCTCCTCCGAGTCCTCTGCTGCCGCCGGGTGCGGCTGCTGCTGCTGAGCCTGGCCACCAATACTAAGGGTGGGAGGCTGTGTTGTGTTTTGTTTTTTGTTTCAAGATTTATCGTGTCTCCCACATGCCCCGGATAGACTGGGCTGTGGATTCGCCATTCCCTCTTCTTGCGCAGGCCGTCCTCCCTGTCGCTCTCCCATGTGCCCCGGATAGACCGGGCTGTGGATTCGCCATTCCCTCTTCTTGCGCAGGCCGTCCTCCCTGTCGCTCTCCCATGTGCCCCGGATAGACCGGGCTGTGGATTCGCCATTCCCTTTTCTCGCGCAGGCCGTCCTCCCCTGTTGCTCATGTATCAAACCTGCCTGCCCGGAACCGGCCGTGGATGGCGGGGATTGTCATTTTTATATTGTGCTCTTCTGTTTTGTTTTGTTTTGTTTTGTTTTGTTTTGTTTTGTTTTGTTTTGTTTTGTTTTGTCTTGTTTTTTTTTTTTCCTGTTCCGTGGCGTTTTTTGTATATTCTTATTTTTCGTTTGTCTGTTAGCTTGAGGACGAACATCGTTGATTTGAAAACCATGGACGCTCCCAAATAATCATCTTGACTCAATAACCCCTTTACGAGATGAGATCCAAGTAACACTTCTGTCCTGGAAATTGCCAAATACCAAGAACAACCGACAGTTGGTCCAACGGTTTCTCATGCCGCGGAAAACCGAAGAGCGACTCAGTCAGACTTCTGTCAATGGGTTTCCGGAAACTGATGCCGATGACGATCCACCTTCTACGGAGACCTACTTATTCGTAGCGGAGAACAACACAACCACTTCGGCATTTGCCACAGTAGCCGACATATTAGAAGAAGCGGAAGAGTATGACCTGGAATTGCTTTCGGCTACATCAGCGAATGCCGATACTTATTCACGTATACCTACAGGAGCCTCAAAAATTTCCATCGAGTCGATGCTCCAGGAAGTTATTACATGGTGACGATGGCCACTACTAGAGATGTGTGGAAGAATGATTGTGTGTGATGAAGAACCAAGCGAGAGCCACTACTACTAATACTGAGGTGACAAACGGCGAGCATGCAGCAGCATCCTAGGATGCCTGAGGCGGCACATACCAGCCTCAACATTACACAAAATGGCACAGATGCTTTGGATACTGAACAATCTCTGAGTGCACGATCTCCAAGACAACTATCGGCAAACAGGATTCTTCACTTATGAGAATCGTCTCCGTAACAGTCATTATGCTATTACTACTACTAGTTACGTAGGTACCTAGGCAGGCAATCACTTTAAAAATATATCCTGCTCATACATATCTAGTAGTACCTAGGTGCCTAGGTAGGTACTAGCAACTGTGTCTATAGGCAGAGGATACTACTAGTATACTTTCGTACTTCAAGTTGTATCATAACTTGGAACCATGCAGTTGAACCAAAGCCTTCGGCCGGATCCATGATGGCTGGCTGTATCCCGAGGTCCACTCCAAGTCCCGAAGTCTATAAATACTAAAATGGCCTAAAAGTCCATGTCAACCTTTGAAGATGAAGATTACAATCTATTAAGTCAATAATATTATCTGGGAGTGTCCATGGTCTCCAAATCAACAATATTCGTCCTCAAGGTAACAGACAAACGAAAAGTCCAGGAGATGCGGATGTCTTCCGTAGCTCAGCTGAACAAAGAGTTCTCGGGAAGAATTTAATACGTATTTTTTTCAACAGAGAACAAATCAGAGCGCTCAGATTAGGCTTGCCATTCCCATTCCTCTAGCTACAGTTTACTTGACTAAGTCCGGTTTGATGACCCTCAAAGTGAGTTTCTTGAAGTGGATCCTATACAAACCGGGCCTGACCAGGAAAGCTTTATCTGTGGGGGCCGAAGGGCTGCTACTTTTTGGGGACGAGACCTCTGACCTACTAGTAGCCTTCAAGTTTTCGGTGTCTTATTCAAGCATTAGTTTATACGTCAGTGTGCCGGACGATAATGTTGTTGAAATCTTGTTTGCGAGAAAATGTCCTTGTTCACGGACTAGGTACGTAGTACTATTTGTCAATATTCGAGGACTGGGAAACACCCTTGTCCTGGTCCTGTCCTGTTCCTGTCCTGTTACCTTGTCCTGTTACCTTGTCCTGCCCTGCTTATGCACCGTTTTGCCACTGAAACCTACCACTTTCTTCTTTTACCATATTCATGGCATCATCTGCTCAGCCCCTGTGCACGTACAACTTGAACCGGTTTCATATTGGGGCTCTGCCGGCACGTAAACCCCCGTTCGGGCGGCCACATGGCATTTCACCATGTGGCCTTGATGACTGACTAGGATCTGTCATGTTAGTCATCGTTTGAATCGCTGCATGTGTGGTTTAAGCCTCAGTAGGGCATTTCTTACATAGTGTTACCTTAAGGTGACCAAAAGAAAAGTCGACCGGGGTGGGCCAGGGTGATGCTTGGAAATAGAATGAAGTTGAGCATTACGCATTTGCGCGGTGGCTGTGTGGAGTTTTACTATTTTAATCGTCCAGAGTGACATTGCGGTGTGTCTGAATGTTCCGGTTTCTTTATGAGGTAATTTGTTGCGGTTCTGCACAAGAGATCGACTGCCGGATGTGACCTCGGTGCGGGAGCGTTGATGATGATCGTCCACTGCATCTCGGCATGCATACTAATACTAGTACTAATACTGTGAAACTACGATCCAGCCCATGCTGGGATACCCTTATCTCTACGTTCTACCCAAGGAAGAACAATTGATGGAAGAGTTTAGAAAAGAACTTGAACCGTAAGTACCCCAAATCAAAAACTCCTTGTTGGTGCTAGCCGCAATAGAATAGACCAAATGATCCAGAAACCAGACAGAAAAACACCAGATCCTTGGAATCAGAATCAGAATCAGAATCGAAATAATAAAATAGACAAACGAATGGACCATTTTGGAGAAGAACGCTGTCGAGTGGATAATAGTGATGAGGAAAATAGAAACAATTAACAAAACGAATGGCCCGTGTATCATCATGCTTCTAACAGAGTGACATGTGGTATGGTATCATCGAAGGAACAGAGCTGGAAAAAAGGTATCACAGATGGAGATTCGTCACGCGTAATTTGGGATAGGATGGGGAGGGAGTATATGCCGTCCAATGATGGGTGGATCCACGCCATGAACTGCTGCATAGTGGGTGTTTATCGTTTACAGATAGCACCGCTCGTTGAGGCGAAAGAAAGACGTCGATGATGTGATGTCTTGTGGGTTATCCCGAATTCATTCTCCGCCGTCGACCTCGCGAACTACCTATCGGGCGTTGTGCGAGGACTTGGCGGAGGATAGGGTCGTCTTTATTTTTATCGACGTGGTGAACACGGACATGTCTAGACGGGGTTAGGATGGATCGGTAATACTAGTCGGATGGATTATTTACCGTTGAAGATTGTCTGGACGGGGATATTTATGCTGTTGATCGGGGCAGAAGGGACAGACGTAGCCCGGAGAGTTGTGTACCAGACCATGTCGCATCATCTCATTCTTGCGTTTGAAGCCTTTCCCACCGAGACCACGAGGGCACCCATCGACAGGACAGAAATGCGGCCGGTCTTGCGAGTGGACATTGGCATGGGAACTGATGGGGTTGATGTTAGATATGGAAGTTTTCCACCTCTATCCGGGATAACTCACTTGAGGAGATATTGCGTCTGGAAAGGTGCTGCCGTGCAATCAGGATGTGTGCATTTGTAGCTACCGGGCACAGTAATCCCATTGGGGGGTTGCGGTGCGGCATTGAATGCAGCTCGCTCACCGGATGGTGGAGTTGGAGCAATCTGTTCGGTCGGTGTTGGGTAGCTCGTTGCTGGACTCTTCGCTGTCATAGGAGACATATCATATGGAGTGGGCGCATGGTGTGGGGTATCCGCAGGCTGTGATGGAGGTGGTGGTGGTGGGGGTGGAGGTGCGGGTAGTGGAGGTCTCCAATATGACGACGTCGCCGGAGACGGATTATTTGATGCATCCTTGACACTCACGGGGGAAAAATGAGAGTAGGGAGTGGGCATCTGTGATGGCGGGAAGAATTGTCTTGTCATTTGGCGATCATGGGGTGAATCATTTTGCGACGATGAGGAGGGCGGGTAGGAGTAAGGCGAGATGCCATTGAGTCGTGCTGGGGGGAAATCGCTCGAGGATAGTCCGCTGAGTGCGGATTGAATAGATGGAAGCACCTGGGTGTTGCCATTGCTAGTGCCGCCGTTGTCTGGGGATGTTGCAGCGCATGACGACGGAGGTGAGAGCGACTGTAAAGACGGGAGGGAGATGCGATTCTTCAGATCGGGAGATTGTTTGAGGTCACTGAGAGGATGGTGGTCAAGCGAAAGTTTTCGATCTGGATGCGTGAGGGTGGAGACGCTCAGACGATGCGGGCGTTGTGCTGGAGACTGGAAGTCGAGAGGGCGAGGGATATCTACGGACGGTGCCAGCCGGGGTAATGGAGCGGGGAGCTTATGCCCAGGTGATAACGGTCGCTCAAGGTCCCTCCTAGGTTGTGTTCCCGAGACTCTATCGCGAGGTTCCTCTTCCTTGAGACTCACGGGTTCAGCGGGAGTCGGCTTCGGCGGTTCAATAGGTTTGGAAACCAATCCTCCGGGACCATCCAATGGTTTCGTATCGACTGGACTCCGGTTCTTCCTGAAACAATCGGTCAAGGAATTGTCGCGCTCAAAGGCCGCGATATCGGGACGGCCTGGAGCTAGAAAGTTGATCAGCACCGAGTCGCCGTAACGGGTGTGAGTCTGGGTTTCCGGCTGGTGCGGCTTACGGGAACGTTCTGGCGTTCCCTTGTCGCCTTTCTCGGTGACATCGTCGGACAGAGGGACGAATGGGGGCCGGGCATCGTCGGGCTCATACTTGGGGCACACCGCCACTGGTGGAGGCGAGCGGTTCATGGCATCGTCCGAATCGTAGAGGTCGGTCATGAAGGCAGGACCGGGCGCATACGGCGCCTATGGGGAAGGAGATATGATGTCGACGCAGGTGGACTTGAAGCTCGATCGCACAGCATAGCACGATGTTGTTGGGGGAAGGACCTCGTGTCGTCGCGGCAGGCGCTCTGCGGGTTGGGAGGTGTGCGGTTAGCGCTGAAGCTGTGTGAAGTTTACTCGTGTCTGTCGCCTTGCTACCTCAGGCTTGGAAGTTCCCATGGCCCAGACATCGACCTCTGATTTAGGACGATAGGAATTCCAGAGCTCAAGTACCAAGTCGGGTAGTGGTTCAAGTGGTTCAAGTGGGTGAGGGGGGAAAGGAAGTAAGATTGGTAGGTCAAAAGGTCACAAGCCTTAATTGGGGGGAGAGGGGGACTGTGACCTCTTCAAGTTCAGAGGTGTACCAGGGGAGCCGCTAACTTACCAAGGGGGAGGTACCAAGCCGGGAGAAGATCGAGTCAAGAACAAATAACGGGGATGAGGCTCAACGGATATTCGACGCCATTCCCTCGAATAATATCGAGGGAAAAGAGGGTTGAGGTTCTCTCAAGTTTTTGGGGGAGAGGAGGGGAAGTTCTGAGCTTAGCGCGGCTCCTCTGCAGAAGTTGCGTGGATGTGGGTGATCCAAGAAAATGAGACTAAAAGAGGAAGAGTATCGAAATCAAGTCCCCCCAAAGTGTAAAAGTGCAAAAACGTAAAAAAGGTAAAAGTCAAGGAACCCAAAAATACCAGTCAAAAATACAATAGAAAAAAAAAGAAGGAAAGGAGAAAAGTGTCGGGATGCGGCTCTAGGAGGAGGAGTGGGACCCAAGGCTCTCAGAAGCAGAGCAACTGGAATTCCCCGCAACCTTCTGATGCATTACTCTTTACACTCTTGACATTACACAAACACACACTCTCTCTCTACACTACACACACTTTACACAGAGTACACTCCAAGTGTACTTTTATACTCTACACTACGCTACACTACACTACCAACACTCGGAGGATTAGGGGTCGCACAGCCAGCACTTCCAGGCTCCACCGTTAATTATTTCTCTCCGGAGTAATCAACCGGGGGGGGGTTGTCGTTTCGACGAGTGGCAGCATCCCCGCTCCACCGGGGCTTAAACCCGGGAAGGGAACCTGCGCGACTCACTCCACTCGGTGGATTGCTTGCCCCCCCGTGGCCATCCTGGTCCAATGTTTCTTCGCCTAGCCTGGAAGGATTGACAACGCAACAGCTTCGTTTCAAGGTGACGGGCCGCTCCGATGTGTACACAGTCTACCTGGGTATGTATCTCTATGTGGGAGAGATGTATGAGAGACTCTATGAGAGACATACCCGAAGGGAACTAAAGAGGCTGAGACAGACTCACTGCTGTGGGACCCATGGTCAACTTCGGGAATTCGCAACTCACCTGCCTTCCCATCAGAAGAAAGAGAGGGAGGGAAAAAAAAAAGTGGAAAAGGGGGGGGTTGGGTGGGTTCTGCTTTCTTCACCCCCTCCTTCCCTCAGCCTCACTTGACGTGGTAGAGCCGCAGCGCAGCCTCATCCCCCGCTGCAGAAACCAATCACACCGCATTTCTGCCCCCCCTGGCAAAAGCAAATATGCATGATCTTCTGGTCCCGTCACCTTTTCGCAACTTCCTTGGCACTGCACTGTTTTTCTTAGCCTTAGTCCTCAATCCAACCCAATCCAACCCAACCCCCTCATCTGCGCATCTGCGTCAGAAACTCTCTTCACGAGAGGAGATCGCGCCGTACGTCCCGCTCATCAGCATCAGCGGACTTGATTCACATCCTTCGACCCTCCCAGATGCTCGCTCGTCTCGAACTAGAAGGGTTCGCTGCATGGTGGCGCCGCATTGACGTGGTAATTGTGGGTGCCGCAACACAATACGGGAGACGTGGACCAAATAGGGCCAAGTGCTGACACCCCATTTGCACTAGCGCACTCGATTTGCCATAATATCTTGCCGTGAGAGTGAGACGGTGTACGTACGTAAGTATTTTAATCAATTGTACGGAGTATTGTGGACCCCATTTACCTCGGTCGGCGAAGGCGGGAACTATGGACAAGCGCGACCCACACGTAGAGACGGAATTGAGTACACGGAGACCGGACTACATACTTGACATACAGAGTACCTAGATAGTATGGAGTGCGAATACTGTAGTGAGAAGTTAATGTAAGTACTCATGTACCGAAGTACATACACTACACCAAGGGTATGTACTTTCCCCGTACTCCGCGGATATAAGGATACGACAAGTACCAGTACTTCGGGTAAGAGTAACTATAGTTACATCTCTGTATCTCCGTATCATGCTATGTACATATGCAGCAAAATTTCAGGAATCGATCTACAGATTACAATTTACCCTTCTGCTGCACCTGTTGCACGCGGTGCCAGGCGCTAAGGGCAAACGGTTTGGCCCGACTCCCGTAATCGCTGGCCCTCGCACTGCTAGCCTGTCGCGCCGCGAACCGGGCCGCAATGCCCTGCATGATGACGGAGCCTCGGAAAGCAAAAAATGCATCTCCCCAAACGATATCGCCCACAGGATCGTATCCCGACACTTCATGGTACCAGCGCATGCATTCCTCACGCGATGGCAGACCCGGCGTCCGCCCGGCCTGGAACGACTCGGTCGACGAATCTGCCCCCTCGAGGATGTACGGACTGGTGACGTTGCAAAAGTCCGACAGCGGGTGCCCGACCGTCGCCATTTCCCAGTCGAGGATGCCAATGACTCGAGGCTCCGTGTGGTGGAAGATCAGATTGTCGATCTTGTAGTCGCCGTGGACCAGGGTGCCCCGATCCCGCGGCTGCGACGACTTCTGCGAGAAGAAGCGCACCATGTCTTCGAAGTGTGGCAGTTCGCCGACGGGCTCCTTGCTGTCTGCGTCGAGGACCTGGGCCTGAGCCCGTGAGATTGTGGTAAAGGTTGCGATTTGTCGGTCATAAAAGCCTGATGGCTTGCCGAACTTCTCGAGGCCAACTGACTTGGGCACGACCCGGTGGAATTTGGCTAGCGTTTGAATGGCGGATTTCCATCTAATTAACACACACCCGTGAGTATATTTCACCAACGACTGCAGTCAATCACGGCTTGCAGATTGCAAAATACGTACAGTGCTTTGCGCTCCTCACCACTGACGCCTGGCATGGCTGGGTCGGTGAAGTGTCGCCCGTCGAGGAACGACATGATGTAGAATGGGGTGCCAATTACATCGTTGTCTTCGCAAAGACAGAGTGCTTCGGGAACGGGTACATCGGTACCCCCCCAAGCTCTGGATAATCTTATACTCGCGCTCGACCTTGTGTGCTGTCTTCGAGAGCAGCTTTCCGGGGGGGCTTCTTCCGCAGGACAAACTTCTTGCCGTCGGCGGTCGTCAGCTGGTAGGTTGGGTTGGATTGGCCGAATCCGAACTAGGGCGGTCGGTGTTAGTCTTAGTATCTGCAGGGCTATGATAGGATTCGGTGATCACGCACCTGCTTCACATCTAATGGGGTCTTCAGAGCTGGTACATTCTGGTCGATGTACCGCTCCAGCGAGGGAATGTCAATGGGCTGTCGCACTTCTCCTGCCATGATGGCGAGGTAGACTAATGAGTGATGAGAGAGAGGGACCAGGTAATAGTAAGCGATAGGGTGAAGGAGGAGATTAAAGAGTCTTTATGAGATATATACAGATCCCAGGTGTGAAGCAATCTGGGGACAGCCGGGGTACCTCGGCCCAGTCGCCCTCGGTCGGCGAGCGGGGAGCAGATGCCTTAGTCAGCGAGATCGGTGCAACATAGTTGACAAGAGGAAGAGGAAGAGGAAGATCGAGAATCCTTGTCTACCTAGGTATGGTTCGAGTTAAGTTATATTTATTGATTGGTTTAAACTATAGAGTAATTATTTGCATGGAAAGCAGTTCTCTGTTGATAATGCAGGTGTGTAGCAATATGCGAGCCCTATAGTTAAAATGTAGAGCATATATATAGTTATACTACCTTCCTACAGCTAAGCTCGGCATTCAGATATTATTCCAAGGTTCAGACATTTTCTTACTAGCACCTGGGTATATTATGGCCACAAATAGTCAACGCCTAGACTAATCATTGAGCCTATTTTCGAGCATACTACTGCCCGACAACATCTTAACATTACAGCTTCCCACGATATCCCAATCCCCATCCCCCACTCAGCGCGTCCCGGCGGTGAAAGACGCGTCCCAGCGGTGAAACGCGCGCAAGGGACAGCATCCACGACCAAGTGGACCACACCGCAATTCTCTCTCGTGGATCAAAGACGAACTCGGTTCCACAGCCTACACCTCCTCTCTACACTCTTCTTTCCATCATCAACACCTTGAACTTCCCTTCGGAATTGCCATGACCAAAGAGACCACCCCACCAACCGAGTCCAATTCCATCCCCGCCACCCGCGAACCACCTTCCCTCCCAACCTCCCCGCTCGCGAAACGCCCCAAGACCACCGACACAATGACCGCCTCCGCCCCCGCCGTGACCTCTATCCAGCAACAGCTGCCTCCCCTTCTGGTGAAGAAGCTCGTTGACTCTGCCCGCGCCCCGACGCGGGGCTCCGCTTTTGCTGCGGGGTACGATGTCTACGCTGCCAAGGAGACTGTTATTCCCTCCAAGGGCAAGGCTATGGTTGATACTGGTATTGCGATTGCTGTGCCAGAAGGCACCTGTGAGTGAATTTGTTGCCGAGTGTCGAGTGTCGATTGTCATTAAATTGGCATGGACTCAGGATCGAGGCTAATGCGTTTGTTTTGCGGATAGATGGCCGCATTGCCCCCCGCTCTGGCCTTGCCTCGAAGCACTTCATCGATACCGGCGCCGGTGTCATTGATGCCGATTACCGTGGCGAGGTGAAGGTTCTTCTGTTCAACCACTCCGATGTTGACTTTCCCGGTACGTGAAAATCTGGGGACTTGAGCCCGTCGTTACTGGGCTCTGTACTGATTCGTTGGATATAGTCAAGGAGGGTGATCGTGTTGCCCAGCTGGTTCTGGAGAAGGTAAGTTGGCTCATTGCGATGCGAATTCTCGTTCTCCGGAGATCGTTCTAACAATACCTTGCAGATCTACACCCCCGAGGTTGCCGTCGTCGAGGAGTTGGAGGAGAGTGTCCGTGGTGCTGGTGGATTCGGCAGCACTGGCGTTTAAAGTCCGGCGATGAGATGAAAAAAAAGGACTGCCTTGGGCGGACAATGGTCAATTTATCGGAGTATATCTAGATTGAAGGAATACCCGGAAAAGAATTTAATGAATTTATGCGTCGAGAACGACTCATCAAACGTGAATTATCACCAATCGCTATTCTATACGTGAAAAAAATATATCCTACTATCCCGTAGCATCAGAACCACTCAATGCCAATGACAAAGCCCCCGTCTTTCATGATCTTGAATTCCAGCCCATGCCAACAATGTAATCACCCGATCTATCACCAATGCCGAAATATTCTCTTCTATTGCAATGCCGCAGGAAGGTCCTCTCTGCGCCAGTCCTGCGCCTCAAACTGTACAAGCGGATCACGCAAGAACTGCACATTTCGCACCAACCGCACCTCCGCCGCCTTTGTCCGGCGCAAATAATCTTGTTTCTGTCGTTCCTCCGCATCATCCACCAAGCCCTCGCTTTGGGCCGTCTCAAGCGCGATCTTCGCGAGTTCGGCATTGCGCGCTTCCATCGTTCGCTCAAGGACGCTGTGCATACTGGATAAGACCTTGAGCGTTGCTTGCGCGAGTGGTAGCGTCGTTGCCGAAACGCTGTCGGGAGAAACCCACGACGCGGTTGACTGGAGCCCATTACCGGCTGCGGCGACCGCCTCGCGGAGACGCGCGACCATCAGTGCGGCGAACATGTCGCCTGTGCCGCTGAAGAAGCAGTCTAGTGCGGGGACGTCGACGCGAAATAGACGCGGGGATCCGTCGCTTTGGGTTGTAGAGCCGATGACGGTTAGGAAGTTCTCTGGAGGTGTGGGGGTACAGCCTGATTGGGAGAGCTTGGAGAGCTGCACAGAGGTGATGATGACGTGGGGAACGGAGTAGATGCGGTGAATTGCGGTGATGGCCTCGGCCAGAGTGGCGAGGGAGGTGATCTCGATGCCTGAGAGGACCCTGGGGAAGCGTCAGTTGAATATGGGGCTCAATTATATATCAAGGGGAAGACTCACTCGGCTTCGAATTGATTTGGTAGGATCAGATCTGCCTGTTTGATGATTTCTTTGTAGGCTGGGACGACGTCGCCATTGACATATAATCGTCCCTGGTCACCCATCACCGGGTCCAATACTAGATAGAAAGGTCAGCCTCGGCTATAAAGAGAAGAGGAAGAACAAAGTCACTTACCCCAGAAAAATGAGCCTGGTTTCTCGGACTTTTTCTTCAAGTCCATTCCAATAGCGCCGACTGCTTCTACGGCCGCGGCGCTGGGGGCATAACCAGACAGCATGACATCGAAATCTGTTAAATTGCTCTGACATAGACCCTGATACAAGTCCGTAATCTCCTGTGCAGTTGCGCGAGTTCCCTTAAATTGCCGGTAGCCGGTATGATTACCTATCTGAATCAGACCGTTGCTCGGTTGAAATAAATGGCGGGGTGTGGTCTCGTGTGACGTGGATAAGATGAGTCTGACCGAGAAACACCATGGAACTTACTAAAATGAACGGTGTTCAAGGCGGCGACATCACAACCGAGAGACTGCATGGCAAATGTTGCCATTGAATTGCCCACATGGCTATGGGCTGTCAGCTGGAGACTCGGACGTCACTGCGCGATGACTCCACACCGAGCCGGCTCGGAGTTCAGAGTTCACGTACCCATACACAACCTGAGGAGGAGGGTGAGTAATTTCTTTAGATGGTAGAGTGAGACTAGGACATACCTGGCTTGCTACAGCCAGTACTCGCGTTTCCGGCACGAGGAAATTGGACATGGTGGTGGTGAAGGATGAAAGGTAACCTTGGAGAGGCGAGTGTGGGGGAAGATTAGAAGATTGGCCGAATTCTCCCTTACCTAATTGGCTCCGCGGGAAACACAATTTGAAAATTGAACTTATTTGTGAAGAGTGTTGTTAGTATATAGTATATTTTCATATTAATATTAGAGACCCATTCTGCTCAATCAGAGGGTACAATTATTATTTTCAAGCTTTATGCTGATCTTAGTTCAATGCGGGGTGGTTAGCCACTCCATTTGAAGTCAGCACGGAGTACGGAGGTGCTACTAATAGTTAGTAGTAGCAGTAGTAGTACTCCGTATGGGTAAGTATAAGCACTCTGTAGTACAAACTTATCTCCGTACCTAGGTACTGAGTAATATGTAATAGATGATTTTAAAATCCATTGGTTTACGGAGTACTCCAATACTTAGTACTAGGCTAAGGTACCCCTGTCGACCAATTGGCCCAGAAGATATTACTCCGTACCAATCTTACGTTGAATGGCTTCTGGACAAGTTTTCAAAGTGGCCCTTGCAGCGAAGTGACACGGTCCCGACGGTGCCCCGAGTCTTTTTGCTATACTCCGTACTCGTACTCCGTGCTCCGTGCTCCATTGTGAGCTCTCTGGTCCCGAGGAGATCGACAACGCTTCCTGCCCGGTCAGCATCGGTCTCCTCGATCTCCTCGGGTCTCCATAGGAGATCGTCATCAATCTCTCTTGCTCTCAAGGCAAAAAAGCAAAAAGCAAAAAGCAAAATCAAAAAGCAAGACCGAGTAGGGATCGTCAGACTGGGAACCCCAAGCTTGGCCCCTGCACGATGCAGAACCCCCCTGAACCATTCGGTTCAAAGTGGTGCGCGTCTCCACCGAACGATCTAGTCCTCCGCCGACGCTGTTTCTGGGCCTAGCGTTGTGCCTGGCCTTGGATTTCGGCCTTGGCTTGCGATGCGAGGTTAGCAACTAAAAATCCTTCGGCTGCGAGCTCCGTACTTGGTCTTATACGGTCTTTCCCCTCGTGGTCCTGCCAGGCACATCAGCCACGTCGTCTCCATCTCCGCCTCCGTCTCCTCTACGGATCACCAAGTTGTTGATTGACAAGCTGTGTATCATGTCGACTGCATAACCTGTGTTTACGCGTGCCTCACTCTTTTAGCCCTCCGCGGCATCCGCCATTCGTTTATTTTCTCTTCGCCATGGAGACCATTTCTCGCCTTTCGAGCGACAATGACTCCCGAAAAGCCACTCATTCCTTTGCATGCGACTCCCACCCTGCTTCATTCTCTCAACGCCGCTGGTCGCGTCTCGGCCAGCTTCGACTTTCGCAAGTCTGGAGGCCCTTCTATACCGGCCTGTTAATTCTAATTGTTATTCTTTACCTGTCGCCCACCGCGGCCGCGCAATCACAATCTGCAACTGCATTGGAGCCAATCACGGGTATCCCGCGATCGGCTTCTCATGCAAATGGAGAGATCTTCGTGGACGGTCTCCAAGAAAGATCTTCATCGCTCCAGCCTTGTGGGGTTGAGGCAGATGGAAATAAGATAAATAATATCGGGAAGCGCACCGATCTAGAACATGACCGTAATCTGCTTCTATCTCGGGAAATTGTCACTGCCAATTCCAACTCAACCTCGTCCATGCCGACCCCATTCGATACGATATCATATAACTTCGCGAATCAGACCTGTACTACGTTTTTCACCGACTTTCTCGCCAATTCGACCATAACAGACTGCCACGCTATCTCACTGCTACTCGAGAACTCCAATTCTTTCTTCCACACCCTGAGCTCTGCCGTAGCTACCTCGCGTGTTCTCGATGTTACTTGCTCCCAATCGGTCACGAAATGTGCTTCCATTATGACCAATCTCGCTAGCGAGATGATCAAGGCCGAAAATTGCGGAGATGACTACAATGCGGGAAACTCGGTCGTGCAGAGCACCTACCAAGACTTGATGGCATACGAACCTGTCTATCGGGCATCTTGCTTGACGAATCCAGACACAAAGGACTATTGCTTTGTTGACGCGGTGCAGAATACGACAGCACCAAATGATTACAATGTCTATTTCATTCCCGTTGGTACAGCGCTCACCAAATCGGGAAATCTGACTTGCAACGACTGCTTGCAAGCCAGCATGGATGTTTTCGCCCAGTGGGCAAAGGTCAATAACCAGGCTCTGGACACTACCTATCTTCCTTCCGCGAAAGTTGTCAACAATTATTGCGGAGCCAATTTTGCCAACACCAATATCACAGTCGGCTCAGATAGAGTCACAGCTGGTGCTGGTCTGGCTCTACAACTGCCAGGGGCTCGACTCGCATTCTCCGTCCTGGGACTATTTCTTGGACTCGGTTGTATGGGAGTGTTCTAAGCTGCAGCCCCATTCTTGACGTATTCAATCTTTTTTACTGTATATTTCCAGAGACGAGGCTCTTCTCGGTTGCCCTTTTCCGATCCTCCTTGAGAATCCTGCCATGTGCCACGACAGCGAAGCGCTTGCTTTTCTATTCGACCTACGTCTATATTTTACATTCCATGTCTATTAATTAATCAAATCTACATATTACCTATGCCATCTACTGCGTATGCTTTGCCTGTTAAAAAAGATTGTCACAACCTGAAGTGATGCATCACGACCGACAGTTCTAAAAATAGTAGGTCGGGGGAATGCCCACACAACACTTGTTTATTTCATTTCCTGCTTGCACCAAATATCGTTTCGTCAAGGTTTGAATCAAAGTAACCGCTAGACTCTATTATCTCAAGATCTTCCTCGCCAAAGCGTCAAAAACATGGCTACACAGCCTCAACTGCCATCACACGCTATGGCAGTGACCGCAGCGCCCCAGGGGCGGGGCACCAGCCTCATCAGGGACCACTTAAAGATCCCAACCCCGTTTCCGCCCCCAAACAAGCGGGATGCAGAATCGCAGGAGTCAAGTTCTTTAAATCAGGATGGCTGCCTTAGTGTAGCGTCGTCCCCAATTACTCCGTACTTGATGTTTGTTTCTTGCATGTCTCAACCAGCATGTTAGTTTCACCCCGGCCATCCGTGGTGCCGTTTTCGCACAATTTAGCAACTATCCGACCGCTGGTCGATTCACTTTACGACTCCACTCGTCAGTCAACGGCCCTAATCAACCAGACTCACAATGAACTCGGCTTGCTTCTTGCAGTCTTGTCCGCCACCGAAGCACGCTCGTCGCTGCTCTATGCGGATCGAACGCCCCTGGCTCTGGACTCGAAGCTAGAAAGTTGCTATGCTATTCTACTCGATGTTGAAAAGTTGCAAAATAATCCGGCGGAGATAGGTCTGCAGGCTCGTATTACGGAACTTCGAGCTCGGATCTCGTCGTTGGTTTTTGAACTTAATGTTATGAATGCCGATATGATGATGTTTGTGCCCTCGGGATTGATCTAGAGTTCCTTTGATATTGACTGTGATCTCCAGATGCTCCCAGAATAAAGTCAATCGGTTGCTAGGTGTCTTTATTGAAGATGTGCGCGAGGGCAAACGAGGACACTCGGTAATCACGGATGCCCTGAACGACGATGCTTCTCCGGATTCTGGGAAAGGGCAAGCATGGGGAAATCTCCAGCAGGAGCTGCTAGATATGGGGATTTCTTCCGAGCTTTCTTTCCAAGATCACGATTTTATAATCTCGACTCTTCGTTATGAAGTTGAAGAAAAGGATCTCATGAAGAATATCAAGTCGAAGCCAACACCATTAGTGATCGTTGAACCACCAACGATCATCGTCTCGTCACCCGAATCTCCAACTAAAGCCCAAATCGAAAGAGAGAGTTCGAAGCCGGCACAATCAGAACTCGTTGAACCTCCAGCTACTATCGTCTCATCGCCTGAAATTTCGGTTGCATATCAAATCAAAAGAGAGAGCTCTCCCTCACTACCGCCTCGACCCCAAGATCCAGGACTTTCTGCGCTTTCTGAAAAGGAAGTAGTTCTTGCTGAAGATTTGCAAACCTATGTAGCTCCAGCCCTAGGTGCAAAGAAAGCAAAGAATGAAAGTCCACCACCTTTACCACCTCGACCTCGTGATTCGGGACTATCTGCGCTTTCGGACAAGGAGGTTGTTGTCACAAAAGGTTCACCAAATTCCGCACCAATATATACACAGGGTACAAGCGACATAGAGAAGCAGGTACTGCCAACAGACAACTACCCAATCCCCGTTGCGACAGAGGCTTTCTTCAACGCGACAGGGGATTCCTACAAACAAGCTCTCCCTCGAGACAATTTCCCGATCCCAGCGTCCACAGAATTTTTCACCGCCAGCAACTTCACCAAGCAAGTCGTTTCGCGAGAGAGTATATCAATACCCACCACAGAGACGAATTCCAGTTACCACGGTAGCTCTCATGGCGACGGGAACAGCAACAACAACAGCAATTCTTCCCTCTCATCTACTAGCCCAGCCAAGAAGCCAAGCATAATCCACAAAATGAAGTACAGATTAACAAATAGCAAAGAAAGCTTCATCACCACAATCCAGCAAAACAAAACCGACACCTTGAAAAAAGCCCTCGACAAAGGCGCAAACGCCGATACCATGAACCAAGACGAACAAACCGCCTTAATGGTAGCATGCTCCTACGGGCACGAAGAAATCGTGAAAACACTCCTGCACTACGGCGCAGACGCAGACAGATCATCCGATAAAGGGGAAACAGCCCTCGGCGTCGCGGCCGGACGGGGACAGGAGGGTATTGTCCGCGTCCTGCTAGCCCACGGAGCCAGCGTGAATTCCTACGGCAGGGCGAAACCAGGACTGTCCGAGGCCGCGGCGTCTGGGTATGAAAGTATTGTGCGGCTATTGCTGGACCGCGGGGCTGATCCTAATGCGATGCGTGGGCTTGGACTGACGGCGCTGTCTCGGGCTGCAGCGAATGGCCATGTTGGTGTTTGTCGCTTGTTGTTGGATAATGGGGCCAAGGTTGACCATCCGCATTCTGTTATTAACACGTCGCCGCTTGCCAGGGCTGTTGAGTCCGGACAGGCGGGTGTTGTTAGGCTTCTGATGGAGTGGGGGGGCTGATCCGCTTCGTAGGGATGTTAGTGGGAAGACGATTGTTTCTCTTGCGGTTTCTCAGGGGAGGGCTGGTGTTATGGAGATATTTCGTCAGCATGGGTATCAGTGTGACAGAGCTACGGTTCAATATTACTAGAACTGCAAGCCTTGGAAGGTTTATACGATAGTTCACTTTCAAAAGAATCAGAAATTGTTTTTATGAATGCCTTTTTTATGTAGAAAAAAGACTCAGAGCCTCCGATTTAATCACCTGGTCAGAAACCTTCAAGTTTATACTAATACCATCCATTCCGATTAGTTCTTAGCACCTACATGCTCTCCCACTATGCGGAGACAAAACTAGCCGGCGTCTGTCCTCTGCGGCGGTAACTTTGCTCCGCGGCCGATTCGCCCATCGAAGGAATGGCGCACTGGTTTGTGCATAGCAAAGCAACCGCCTTCAGCTACGCGTGTGCATTTGAAATGCAGCATTGAGGATGCTGCTGCGCTAACGACAAAGATCAACAAAATCAGACCACAAGATCGTTAGTCTCCATCTCAGATAGCGATAGGAACGTTCTGTTAGGGCTGCAGTTATTATGACTATACTCGTCCGACCTCAACCACCTCGATTTTCAGTGACTGATCAATTGTGTATGTACACAATAAACTCTTTTGCACTATATAGTGAATACACCATCCTCCCTTTTATGTGAAGGCATTCTCGATTGTGAGCTTCTTGCCAATACGAAGCAAGTTACTCTATTTATATAGCTGCTTCTCTTCTGGTGTCCAATTAATGTTAGTAGAATTATAAAAATTTTCTAAATTTCTTTGAGATCGTTGGTTTACTTAAATAATTGTATGTAACGGTCGTGCCTTCAGACCTAATACGCTGGCGAGGCTTCTTTTTTGTTCGCAGCCTGTTCTCAACATTTGCTTACAAATTCTTTCTCTAGCAATCACTAGGAGCTATACATTAGTATTGAATGTCAAGAACTTTCAGAAGCCCGCCTGGATACGCTGTGCCTCAGTGAAATAATGCACTGAGTGGAAATGTGCTGACGTAGAAGAATATTTTGGCATCGTGACTCGTTTTTAAGAGCAGATTACTCAATTCGACAATTTTGTAAGGACTTGTAATTCCCCATAGGATGATTTAAGATAAGAATGATTTTTCAACTGTCCCACGCGAATGCTCTTATATTCCCGGGCCAAAGATTTTGCTGATGGTATTACTTGTATTAAGAAAGCGGATACGTTATTGTTCATCAATCCTATCGTCAGAACGTTTAAAGTATCTAAAACCTTGAATATACTCAGAAACAGACCCCTTCTTCATTTTCCGCCCCCTCTTCTCCTGGCCACACAGTGGGAAGGGTAAGCGTAGTACCCTCTCGCCCAACTATGCAGGTTATGTCACCTGTGAGATTGTTTTGTAGGAAGACTTGGCATGTCTTCTTCGTTCCGCCCCATCCGTCCCTCGCGAAGAAAGCATTATTGCAGGGAATTTGTTTGTTCTGCAATGTCGTCTGGATAAATGACACTTCGGAGACGGGGTGGAGGCCCCAGACTACGGCCAACACTTCAATCTTTGCGGAGGGCCCGTTCTTGGAAGAAAAAAAGTGGTTTCGGCGGAATGGACTTTGTGGGTTGATGGTAACCAGCCCCGTTCCTTCGCCAACGACTAGTAGTTGCATAGGGTCAGAACCATACTGATAGAGTACGGAGATAGTCTTGTGGTGATTATCCGGCCAGGGATCTGGTGATGCGATATGCCGGACACTATTGGTATCCAATTGAAGGGTTTGGTGCGGTCCGATCTTAGCTTGAAGCACGCTGGTGATGTCTAGACCACCCCAGTTCGCACATATAATGTCCAGAAAAGGAGGTATCTCCAAGGATTCATTTTCATGTACCGTCTTCATGTCACAGTAGGATAAAGCTGCGGGTGTATCCGAGTATGCCCATGTGACTGACAGATTCTTCACATGGCCGTAACACGGGTCACAACCAAATTCGTGGACTGAAGCCACAATACTGGCTTGTCGATATGTGCGCACAAGCCTGGCAACCTGTTCTGTGACATCCTGGTTGTGCCAGCTTGCAATGAGAATATGGGGTGAGCCCGGGTTGTCATCGAAACTCTCGTGGTACGGGAGAGGAGCATTGAGGTCAATGCTAATTGTCTCGCCTTCCTCAGCAATTATCTTCTGCGGCGCCGTATATAGAGTGCCGTAGTCTAGGTATATCGCCTTCCTCCAGACCATGGAAAATGCCTTGACATTATTGGGCCAGGGATCACCTCCGAATGTCTCATTTGTTGCGGTAAAACTGATGTTTTGAACCTTGCCTCTAAGATGAGCGCGAAAGATGTGACGCACGGTATCTGCCACATTCAATGGACCGTACACAGCCGAAAGTACCTCGAAATCATCGCTCTGACGCTGCAATCCAGTAACCATATGAGAAGGATTGCTGGGTCGCTGTTCCTCCAGTATCCCAGCCGCAGCCGCCTTCGCCGCCCATTTGAGGATCATGGGCCGATTTTCATTTGCCTCTGTCTCGGAGATTCCATACGTGTGCATCTCTCGCACTAGCTCCTGCCATATGTCATCCTCGTCCGAAGGCGGCGTCATCATAACTGTATCAACGGTCGACATGAGAGAGCTGGGTTTACGCCCTTCCTGAATGCTGATTAAGATGTCGTCAAGTTTGTCCAAAACTCGCTCTTGATCAGGGCTACGGCAAGTTAGTGGGGCCTCCTAGAACCGGGTCTGGAAACTTTCTTAGCTGGGGTATGGCTAATATCTGGAAGCACTATGCTGCTGTTGAATGCTGCGATAATGGCGCAGAGAGTACTGATCTGCGATCTAATGGAATCAACTTCGCCCTGTGACCATTTGAAGCGGTGTAGGCCGCGGGTGTGAGGCCGGAGCCTTGTCTCTTCTGCAGTTGCTTTAAAAGTCTTCCCGTCTGCTGTATCAGATTTTCCAAGTCGGCGTATTCGACGGACGGCATGGCGACCTTGGAGTCTGCCTGTTGTAGGGCTAGCCTATTCCCAAGCCTCCTTAAAACCATACCGAGCCCACTGATGTCGTCACAAAGACCTTTGAACCGTTTTGGTGCGCCTTGATATGTATCGAAAATTTGATAGGCAAACGTTGCTATTGTCAGAACATCTGGGGCGCCAGTAGGTGAAATCATCCCAAATTCTGAAATTTATTTGTTGACTAGGGGGATCCAAAGCACAGCCCCAAATATTTTTGGATAGTTCACTTGCCTCACATGTTACCAAGAAACCCTCGAACTTTAGCTGAATGGTGTCAGAAGAGGGGCAGCGCTGCGAGCAAGCGGGGTGTCTAGAAGCGGCAAAAATATCCATATCCTGCACGAACCCATTTAACCTCTTCGGCTCCCATCCCAGCAGCTGCCTCGCTCTATCAGAAGAGCCTCTAAAACTAGCACTCATCACCTTAGCAAACAAATCCCCACCATGACCCTTCAGCACAACCTCGCCTCCAAACCCCCAACACATCGCCAAAGCATCGAATATCTCCCGCATACCCTCCTGGCTAGTAACAAGGTCAAAGACAGGATAAACGTCTGACCCAGCCAACAAATGCACCTTCTCAACCGCGCCAACAAACGACGCCGCCGCAGCATCATCAACATGAACAAGACCCGGTTTCGCGCGCGCATCAAGCGGGATCTCAACCCTCGACGACCCATCCAGCACAGCCCGATACACCGGCATAATGAACGGGGACCAAATCGTCCCCGCACGCCCGTAGAGCAGAGCCAGACGCAACAACATCACGTCGAGTACATTTCCCGCCCCCAGCACGGCATTTTCCATCCCAACGCGCCACTCAACTAGTTCCTCCGGCAGCGTATCCCCCGCCGACCCAACCGTATAAAGATCATTCACGCGCTGGCCCGAGGACCCATGCACCCACGTCCCGGAGCAGTATATAAAACCCAGTTTTGGAGCGTGCACCCCGCGCCGCTTATACTCGTCCAGCCGCTCTTTCCCGAGCCGCGCTACGTCGTGCAGGAAATTGTGGGAGGCGTGGTCGGCGCCGGAGACGTCTATGACGGCGTCTATGTGCTTTGATTCGATGGCGGAGAGGTAGGGGCCTGGCTCATTGACGGGATCTGGGCAGAGGATTGGTGTGATTTCTTGTCTTGAGAGCTTGGTTGATTTGGATGGGGTTCGCGATAGGCCGTAGACGGTGTGTTGGCCGGTTTGGATGAGGTGGTTGGCGATTTGGTGGCCTAGGTAGCTAGCTGATGGCGCCGAGAATGAGGATTTTTGGCATTGTGGAGGGGTTGGGTTAGTTGGATTACGAGTAGTAAGTAGTACTAACTAGGTAGTACCTGGTTACTAGTAGTAAGGAAGTGTTCAAGTTTTCTTTCCCTTTTTCTTTGTTGGAGGGTTGAAGGTGGTTTTGGAAGTAGTTAGTAGTAGTAACTAGCTTAGTCGAGGTTTGAGGGCTCTGCAGGGTCTTATTATATACGAGGCCTTTGCCTAGGTTAGTTGAGCTGGTCTCGCTGGCGATGCTTAAGTCCGGTTGATATGATATCTGAGGATAGAAGGAATTATAAGCCCCGGGAATCGGATTGATGGGCTACCTCCGCAGGGTGTGTCTGGTATTTGCAGACTTTATAGTTTCTATAACTTTGAGTAGCTGGTCTTGGGCCGTAAATCCGGTCCTAAGTCCGGAATGCCCGATCAGGACGTGTAGTCACCCCTCTGGCATTCAGAGGCTGATGCGATGGTAAGAAATCAAAATTCACTATAATTTCTGATCTGTCTAGGTAGAGGAGGGGAGTCAATGGGTCACGGTGATTGTTGGTTCATGGATGCCTTTCGGCGGGGGTGTCCATGCATGCGGGGTTTCCAGGTGCCCCTCCAGTCGTGCTCGGGGGGATTATGGAGTTGCACCCCGGTACTACCGGTACCTGAAAGAGATGAGTACAGTGGTGTACTTATTTACTGGTGCGATTCAAACCCACGGGATGAAGTTCTCATGGTCAATTGGGTTGTTGTAGGCCTAGCAGGTACTATGCCATATTCTGGTAGTGGACTTTGGAGTCTATCTCCGCGGGGTATTCCGCTAGGTACTTAAGATCATGTAAGTCAAAATAGACATACATATTTCCTTCTAGTATAGCTATTAATGCTAGCTGGACACAATACACTAGTACTAGTCGTGCCGGTATGTAGGTACCAGTTGATATTTCTAGAACTACAGTCTCCTCCCTGGAACTACCTCGGGTCAATGTCAATGCCAATACCAACCCCGATTGGGTGTTCTTGGCCAACATTCCCTTCAAGGCTGAGCCATGACATCACGAGGAACTACGCAATAGGACTAAAAAAAGAATGCAAAAGTAAAAAGTAGAAAGTAAAAAGTAAAAAGTAAAAAGAAAAGTAAAAAGACCGAAACGTGCTAGGATGAGGTATGACCAGACTTTCAAGGAAGCCGGCGCTCAGAAGTCCGTGCCTTCAAGTATTGGTGGGAGGGAGAGAGAGAGAGTGGGAGAGTGGCGGAAGGCGCGAGAACTGAGTGGGGCACAGTGGCACTAACTAATTACCTACAGTAGTTATCCAGTTACCTAAGGTAGTCTGTTCTCGCTGTGGTTGTGTCTCTGTGCCCCTCCAAAGCTCGCAGGTGCAAAGGACTCCCCGCCTTCCGCCCCCCCCACCCCACCTGGCTTGGATTTTCCTCTCCTCTTCCTTTCTCTTCCTTTCTCTCCTTCCTTTATCCCCCCAAAAGTATCATCACTTTCACATCATCCATCATGTCTTCCGCTTTCTTCGTCATCGAGTACGGCAAGCCCGGCGCCAGTGAGTCCTTCTCTAGATTCATCTCCCCCCTCTATTTTTACCCCTCCACCCCCCCCCTCTCTCCCCGAGTCTGCATACGCGTATCTCCCAACAACCCTTGGAATCCATCTCCAAAGCCCTCAAATCACTGTCTTTTCGTCCAATCCATCGATAGTCCCTCACAAGTATCCCAAGATTCAATTCGGCTAACTGTTGTTTCCCTCCCATCCAGCCACCCAGGGCCGTGTTGACTTCAAGCTCTACAACGACGTTGTCCCCAAGACCGCCAAGAACTTCGCTGAGCTCTGCACCAAGCCCCAGGGCGAGGGCTACAAGGGATCTGCCTTCCACCGTGTCATCCCCCAGTTCATGCTCCAGGGTGGTGACTTCACCCGTGGCAACGTAAGTAGCTTTCCAGCTTAGCCTCACCAACCCCTCCCTCTGCTCCCACTTTGTGAGCAATCAATGGCTAACTAGCTCCCACCGAACAGGGCACCGGTGGCCGCTCCATCTACGGCGAGAAGTTCGCCGATGAGAACTTCAAGATTGCCCACACCAAGCCCGGTCTGCTCTCCATGGCCAACGCTGGCCCCAACACGTACGTAGCCCCGCGCTCCCCTTCAATTCTAACACCCGAGCCCTTGACTAACCTCTTTCCACAGCAACGGCTCCCAGTTCTTCATCACCACCGTGAAGACCAGCTGGTTGGACGGCAAGCACGTCGTCTTCGGCGAGGTCACCAACGGTTACGAGCACGTCGAGGCCATCGAGCGTCTCGGCTCTGGCTCCGGTACCGTCAACGGCTCTGCCAAGATCGTCGACTGTGGCTCCGCTTAAATGTTTCTAGTCTCGAAAATCTGATCTTGCTGTCGATTCCCTTGCTGCCTTGGCGTTAATCTGCTGGCCGGGGGTTTCGTTCGGTGCTTCTGACTTAAATTTCCCAATCTCGCCTTTTCTTTTTGCGGCTTCCGGTGGAGGCTGCTACTGTAAGAATTATGCTCCATTGTAGACTTTAGTAAGTAGTAGCGGTCTGTAACGCGTAGGTATACTAGTATTTACTATTCGTAGTGCGAATTGGTTTACTCCGAAAAGAAAAAAAAGTCCTAGTGAGACCTCGCCGCCGAAAAGTCCGGCCTGGCAGAAAGGCGTTTATGTGAATTCGTTAAAAATTGCCGCACTTGTAGAAACATGATCCAGTATGTCCACAGCAAAGTGTTAAAAAATAAAGTGTCGCAAAGGTACAAGGCACAATATGCAATGCACATACATGGCAAAAGTATAGACAAGGCAAAGATGCAATCACAAATGTTGGAAGATCATAACCAGCAGAAACATAGGCTCTTGTCATTCGTCACGTCGAAGATGAACAGAAAAAAAAAAGAAACAGAAATGTGCGCACGCAGAAGCAATTGGTAAATAAAGCCAGACACGCTTGAAGATCGCAAAGAAAGCAGAAGATTCAAGCTATTCAGCTCAGCTCCTCCTTGATGAGGAACCATCTCCGAGCGCGACGCCGACTAGACTCTGCGGCTCGCCGCCGAAACTGGTACCCGGGTTGGTCAGAGTGGGAGACCCGACGCCTGAGATGGGGCTTTGGGCCGCGTCCCGGTCTCGTTTGACCCGGAAATAGGCCAGTTTCGTGAAGCGGCTGAGGTGGGTCCAGAAATGGCGGCCGGCTGGGTGGATTGCGATGCGGTCGAGGATTTCTACCGTTGCTTCGCGGACGACTTGGTCCGGGTGGAAAAGGCCCATGCTGAGGTAGAAGAGGCCTGCTTGGTTCTCCGGTGCAACGACCAGCAGTTGGCAGATGCCGGCGTAGTCCCTGACTACGTGAGATAGTGCGAGGTAGATGGCGGCTGAGTCGGCATGGGAAAGCTTGAGAGAGCGCAGGCGGTCGTGGTGGTGGAAAAGATCTGGTCGCTGGATTGGTCGGACAGCTGAGTACATGCTTGCGATATCTTGGATGTAGGAGTAGTAGGATCGGGTGTTTCGCCAACCCTCGATTCGCGAGACTGAGGCCGAGAGCTCGCGCTGCTTGGCCGTTTCATCAGACCAGACATAGCCATGGCCTCGGAGGGACGACGGATCTGCTGGATCTGATTGTTGGCCGGTAGGACTGTCGGGAGATAGCTCCTCTCCGGGGCCGATGATATAAAGATTTGAGGCACCGTAGACGGCTTCTTCAAAGGCTGCAGCTACCCGAGTAAATTTGGTGATGTAGGCCCGCCACTTCGCACGGATGGCATTCTCGCCATGCCGGTTGCTGATACTGCGCAGGATGTCCTCAATAAACAGGTTATCTCCAGTCGGGTCCGAGTTGGCGTTTGAACTATGGTTCGGTAAGAGTGCGTTTTGCTGCTGGAAGAATAGCAGTCCCTCTGTCACTGGCGCAGACTCGACATGACTCGAGATCTTCATACGGCCCGTCGGAAGGTCGCACATGACATCCCACCATTCTGGGTGATTGGCGAAGGTGGGGTTTGTTACACCGGCAATGAAGCCAGGCACTTTGAGGAGATCGTCGATTTTGGTTAAATCAGTATAGGGGAATGCGTGTCTAGTAAATCCACGAAGAATTCCCCCCAGATGCAAGTGCGCAGGCTGCAAGGACCGCCTCCGCCACTTCACCAGAGGGCCTGTTGTGTCCCAGGAAGATAACACGTTTTTGAGTGAGTATGGCATTGACAAGAACAATAATAGGATGGGTAAATGGGCCGCTGGTGGTCAGATGAGGATGGTTCGGGAAAGGTTGTGGAGAAGTAGCATGCGGCCCGGCGAAGGTCTGAATGAGTTTGACGAGAGAAAAATCGCCAACGGTCTCGGGCCAAATCACAGTTGGAATTTTGACGGGGATCGGTATATCGTGATAGACCACCTTCGACTCGAACTCGTGCGTGTCCCGCGGAAGGACGTAGCGGGCCATTTTCTTCGGCGATGGAGGGCACTCGCTACCATCTGTCTCTTCTTCTTCTCGTTGACGAATC